ACCCTGGGCTGGAGCGGGGGGGGGGGGCTGCGAGGTGATAAAAAGGTAGCTGTTAGCCACAGATGACCTCGATAGCCCGAGATGGCATCCAAGACGGCTCAACAAGCAGACCTTCGGCATGCCTCCAGGAGGCCGCAACGCTCTCCCAGGACGGGTCTGTACGTGCCCTCCTCCTCCTCTTCTTCCTCCTCCTCCTCCTTCTGATGTTTCTCCTCCTTCTCCTCCTCCTCCTCCAATTGCTAATCCTTCTCCTCCTCCTCCTTCTCCTCCAATTGCTAGTCCAGCGAAAAGGGCAACCACTGCTCACACGCGTGTGCAACTATGACTTGTGGCTGACTCGCCGGTGCGTTCCCATGGGCCAAGAGGTCCCAAGAGAGACCCCAAGACAGGCCCAGACAGCTTCCAAGATGGTCCCAGAAGCGCCAACGAGCGCCCCAGGAAGGCTCCAAGAGGCAATTGTCCAGCTCTCGAGGGGGGGGGGGGGCGCGCCAATTGCCGCCGCCTCCTTCTTCGAGCTTTGGGGCCCAATATAGCATGAAGTGTGCTCCAAACGCAGCAAAAAGACTTCCAAGGTGGCCCCAAGGTCCACGAGGCCTCCAAAAGGCACGCGAAGCATCGTCTTCGCCTTCGTCGTCGTCTCCTGATTCGTCGCCCCTCCTCTGCCTATTCCACCTCCTCCTCCCCCCACTCCCTCGTGCTGTTGTTCCTCCTCCTTCCCCGAGAGGGCCCCCAGATAGGTACAACGAGACTCCCCGACGTCTCTACCTTCACACTGTTGGCATCCCTGCTTCACTACATGCGTACTTACGCTCCTCCTTCAGACAACTCCAACTCTCTAGGGCATCGTTTTCTGACTGGACTGGTGGGGATACGCGGGCCGCCAAGGATCTACACATTCCCCAGACAGTGCTTGAGGGGTTCATACTTCTGTTCTGAGGAACTGGGCCGTGTCTTCGGCCTGGCGGCTATTGTGGCCGCCGTCGCCGCCCCGTCACCACCTCGTCGCCCCACGTCGTCGGGGCCGTGTCTTCGGTCTGGCGGCTATGTGGCTGCCGTCACAACCCCGTCGCCGCCTGGTCGCTGGCTACCGTCTGGGCCTGTGCGTCCGTCTGGCGGCCATGCTGCTGCCGTCGCCGCCCCGTCGCGGCAGTCGCCGCTCGCCGCCGCCGCTAGATTCCACCACACAGGTTCTCCTTTCAAAAAACAAAACAGACTCTACCACCCCCCCCCGGCGTTATCCGCCCCCCTTTCGGGCATCTAATTCATATATGATTCGGACCACCTGTCCATCCTGAATATGAATCTATGTACACTCTCCCTGGGGAGCTGGCATTGGCCCCCCTGAGGTTTCCTTGAGAAAACAATACGCGGGGGCACCTTTTGCTTTAACATAAGAGTTTTCCACGAATCCCATGCAAAAAAATATGACGAAGTGCATACGCGCGCGCCGTCGCGCGCACATGCCGAAATCCTCCAAAAACATTCGAGTTTCCAACAAACATACAAAAACACATGGTTTCGCAACAATGATTTGCTAAAAAAGCTTACGCGCGAGTTCTTCCGAAATCTTATCAAAACCATAGTTTTTCCAGATTTTCACAAAATGCTACCAAACGGGCTTTGCGCGCGCGCATGTCGAAATCTGTCGAACGCCCTTGCGCGTGTGCCGTCGCGAGAATCCTCTGCAACAAACGGACGAAGTGCAGACGCGCGCGTCGTCGCGCGCGTATGCCGAAATCCTTCAAAATCCATCGGCTTCGGAAGGATTTCAACATCGTGTGTCCAAAAAAACCTACAAAAACAAAAAGTTTCGCAGTCGAAATCCATCGGCGTCGTCGAAGTCGTTGGAGACGTCATCGGTGTCGTCGTAGTCGTTGTCGGCGGCGTCGTCGTCGTCGTTGTCGCTGTCGTCGTCGGCGTCGCTGTCGTTGCCAAGTGCCATTTGGTACCCACCGTCACGGTCTTAAGAGATTTTGCAAACCAAGTTGCGGGTGGGTGGGTGGGATGTTTGCGGGAGCAGTGGAGTGGACAACTCACTGCGAACAGAAATAAATTGCACATCCTAGATTGCACCACGTCGATTGCACCGCGAATATTGCCCCACGGCACATCGATTGCATCACCTATATTTCGCACCGTATAGATTGCACTACATAGCTTGCACCCTATGTATTGCACAACATAGGAGTGCACCACCAACTGGATCGATCACATGTATTGCACCACATAAACTTCATCACATATTTTGCCCCACAGGTATAACACTGCATACATTACTTAACAGTGCTTGCAACACATGCGTTGCACAAAATGTATGGCACCACGCAGATTGCACAACATCGACTGCTTCACCTGAAGCGCACAACATATACAATTGGGGACCCACTGTTTGGGGTCCACGCTGGCGAACACCTCCGCACAACAAAACATGTTGAGCAGGATGCCGACTACAACAGAGTGCAGAAACCAAGGTGCATGGAGAGCATAGAGGAAAGATGTGGCAGCCGATGAGCCAAAAGGAAGAGCAAGAGGGTGGATGGCGGAGGGTAGAGTACCGAATTAACAGAAACAACTGCTAAAGCATAGACTTTCAACGGTACTGCTCCTTCTCCTCATCCTCCCTGCTTGCTCCTCCCCTCTCATCCCTCCTCGTCCCTTCCTTTCTTCTTCCTTACCATCACTCCTGTGGTGGCGGCCACGACGAAAACGAAAACGACAACAACATCGACGGAAGTCTATCCAAAAGCCCACCCGGGGGTCCCCGAAAGCTAAGGCCATCCTCGACCCACGAATCTCGAGCCTCACACGCCGACGGATGCCGACCATAAGCGGAATCCCGTTCAATTCTGGCCCCCAGACCCCTCCTAGGTCCAGCCAGCTTCTCGACCCACGTCCCCCGACCGTGGCGGCGATCTCCTCCAGAGACTGCCGACCACGCCTCCGACGACGACGACGAACAAAAAACAAAAGACGACGACGCACACGACGACGACGACGACGACGACGCGACGCCACCGAGGACGACGGCGACGACGCGACGCCAGCGAGGACGAGGACGACGACGACGACGCGACGCCGCCGAGGCCGACGGCGACGACGCGACGCCAGCGAGGACGACGACGACGACGACGACGACGAGCGCGGGCCTCCGCGGCGACGGGGCCTGCCTCGGCCTCCGGGCGCCCGCCGCCGCACGGTCTGCCGCCGCCGCCGCCGCCGCCCTCGCCGCTGTGGCGCTAAGGCCTCCGGCCTGCTGCGGTGCTGGGCTGCGCCGGCGCGAGCTGCCCAGAGATAAGACGACGCGAAGATCGGGACAACATCGGATCGGGATAACTCGAAATCTCTGAGAATCGGCGGGTTTGGAGGATGTACTGGGCGCCGCGGCCGCTCCAGAGCGTTCCGGAACGCTCTGAGAGCGCTCCGGAACGCTCTGGAGCGATTTATCCCGATCCTATGATGGGCCTGTTTTGCACCACCACTACCATAAGTTGGAGGGGGGAAGGAGGAGGACGAGGACGAGGAGAAGGAGGAGGAGGATGAGGAGGACCCCCTCTCCCTCCAACTTACGGTGGTGGTGGTGGAAAACAGGCCCATCATCCTAGCCCTGTGTTACAGAGATCCGACGTGTTGCATTGAACAAGTCCAGACGAGGATTCTTCGTGTGCTTCGGCCTCGGGGGGCCCTCGCTCGGGAATCGGCCCTCGACGGGCCCTCGACGGGGCCCCGGGAGCATCAGAAAACGACTCGGGATGAGCAACCGGTCCCGGGGAGTGGTGCTGGGCTGCGCCGGCGTGAGCTGCCCAGAGATCCAACGCATCGAATTGAAAAAACAAGGGGGGAAAACAAACCCACCTCGCTTTTGACCACCCTCGCTCCCAGGAGAGACCGAGCGATGCCAAACTGCGGCCTGTACTGGTCAGGCCGCTTGACGAGGAGGCGCGTGGCATGACTTGGTTTTGCCTGGAAGCGAAAGCGGGGTAGGTAATTCACGTTCTGAAAAAATCCAGACGGGGTTTTTAGCGTTCTTCGGCCTCGAGGGGCCCTCGCCGGGCCCCGGGAGCATCAGAAAACGACTCGGGAGGAGAAACCAGTCCTGGGGAATGGGTCGAGACTTCTGGGGACCCCGCATTGAAAAAATCACGACATCGGATCTCTGGGTATCGAGCCGCCACGCCACACCACCAATGACTGACTACCTACCAGACCACCCCAGCCCAACCCGAAGACCCGAACTTCGGGTTGGGGGGGGGGGGTACGGGTTCCAGATGTGTTTTCTCGATGTTCCCCGACCCCCCCCCACTGGAGATGGAGGTCACTTTGAGGCCTTCGGGTTGGGTTGGGGCGGGTTGGTGGGTGGTGAGTGACAGCATAGTGGTAACAGTGATCATGCAGTTGCATGAGAAGAATCCGAACAGAACGTGGCACAGCGAAAGGGTGCAAGAGGATGAGCTCACAGGGGCACAGAGCAATCCCAACGAGCTGTTGCAGGGGCTGAGTCCAACATGGTCCTCGTTTCAGGAGTATTGCCTGCAGCTGCACTTCCCATCGCCCACGCGTATCGAGGACTTGCGCTCGGCGGCGGGGCCGAGGCTTGCTGCACGCATACGCAGCAGAAGTCGTACCCCTCCCCCTCCCTATCCCCGCCCGCGTTCGTCCGACCCGAGATCCTCGAAGGCCTCCGAGTGCCTTCCGAGGAACCTCCGAAGGCCTTCGAGGCCTTCGAAAGCCATTTGTCGGCCCTCGGACGATCCTCTAAGGCATGCGAGGCCTCCGAAGACCTTCGATGGCCCTTCGACGAGCCTCGCAGAAGTGCGAGGCCTCCAAGGACCCTCGAGGGCCCTTCGAGCAGCACCGGAGGCGCTCCGAAGGCCCCGAGGGCCTTCGAGGGCCGCCGAGGGCCCCCCGACGGCCTCGGGGGGCCCTCCGAAGGCCGTCGCGTGGCCTCCGAAGGCCGCCGAGGGCCCTCCGAGGGCCTCCGAGAGGCCCTCGCCGACGACGGCGGCGCGGCGGCGGCGGCCGCCGGCGGGGCCTCCGCGGCCCCGCCCCTGCCGCTCGACAGGCCCATGCGCACCTCCACGCGCCCGACCTGCGAGAGCGCGGCGCCCGCGCGCGGGGGGCGCGCGCGCGCGGAGGGCGCGCAGGAGCGCCCCGGGGCGCCCACGACGAGGGCGGCGACGACGGCGACGTCGGAGGCGACAGCGAGGACGAAGGCGTCGCGTCCACGACGAGGACGTCGACGACGGCGACGTCGGAGGCGACAGCGAAGACGAAGGCGTCGACGGCGCTCACGGGATTGGGGGTCCAGCGCCGATCCCCGACGAACCTGCGCGGAGCTGAGAAGATGTTGCCTATGCGTATGCCATTGTGTGTTCACCTGCTGATGGGTCGAGGAGGCACCCATCCAGTGCGTGCTGCACTGTCTTCGAAGGGGCGCCACACGGCCGACGCGCACCCGACATGGCCAAACATCGAGCCTCCAGGGGCTGGCCTTCATCCATGCCCAGTGCACCTCGGGTTTGGGGGGGGGAGGGAGCCCGAAACCCCAGGCTGCGGTGGACAGGGACAGAAATATTGCCCGCGAGTTCTGAAGCACGACGGAGGCCCGCGAGAGGCCGAGCACGGCGAAACGTGCCAGGACCCGCCTGGCCTCAGGAACCGCTGGCCTGCCGGCGAAGAGGCGGCCCGGGCGCAGAACGCCAGAGACCCTGGGAGGGCGCCCCGGATCGGCGGCGGCGAGCGGAGGGGGGACGTGAGGAGGGGGAAGCCTTTGCCGGAAGGCGGCGCGGCTGCTCACAAGCCCTCTGGCCTCCTCAACGATTTTCTTCCGTGTGCCCTCGGGGGAGATCTAGGAGGCACCTGGAAGGCCAGGGGGCCTCCGACCCTTCTGAGAAGGTCCGCCTCTCTCGCCCTCGCTCGGACGTCCATGTCCTGCGTTTTTTTTGTGCGGTGGCGTGCGTGGCTTTTTTTTCGCCAAAGGATCAAGGATGCCCCTGCAGGAAAGGGCCCCTGCAGGGGCCCTTGAGGGCCCAAGAGGGGGCTTCAGGCTCCAGGGCCCCAACAGGGCCCCTATCTTGCCGTCGCTCGGACGTCCGTGTCCCGTGCACTTTTTCGGTTTCGTGCGTTCTTTGTTGTTGCTCGATGCTCGAGCCTCGAGGCTGATGTCCGAGGTCGGCGGGCGCTCCCTTCGGCCCTCGAAAGGCTTTCCGGCCCAGTCGCCTTCACGTCAGGAGGAGGAGGAGGAGGAGGAGGAGGAGGAGGAGGAGGAGGAGGAGGAGGAGGGAGGAGGAGGAGGAGGATAAGGAGGAGGAGGAGGAGGATGCTCCTCGATGGCCCTCGCCAGAGGGAAATTATTCACTGCGTGGAGCTCCCCATATGTGCATCTACTCGCATGGACCTGTCCGCCGTGAATGTCTAGGCGCAAGAGCTTTCGAATATTAACGGGATTCAGTTGTGACGGTCTGGACATCAATCTAACTGCGAATGAATTGGAGTGTGAATGAGCCTCAGTAGTACGAGCGCGTCTCTGTGCATGAGCCTGGGGCCTCCTGGGGCCTCCTGAAACCTACTGGGGCTTCCTGGGGTCTCCAGGAGCCTCTTGGGACCTCCTGGGACCTCCTAGGAAGGTTTCGTGCCCCAGGAGAGGCGCAATCTATAGCAACAGACGTACATAAAACATTGCGGATTAGAGCCACAGGAGAAGGGCAATATATAGGAACACGCGTAAAACACCAAGGACTCGTGCCCCAGGAGAGGCCCAATACATAGGAACATGAGTAAAACATTTAGGATTGTGTACACAGGAGAAGGACCATCTATAGAAACATACGTAGAACATCAAAGAATCGTGCTCCAGGTGAGGCCCAATCGATAGGAGCATACGTAAAACACATGGGATTGGAGCCACTCCTGTTGCCTTCTGAGGCCTCCTGCTCCTGGGGCCTCTCGGGGCCTCCTGTTGCCTTCCGAGGCCTCCTGGCGCTTCCTGTTGCCTCCTGGGGCCTCCTGTGGTTTCCTGAGGCCTTCTGGAGCTTCCTGGGGCCTCCTGGAGCCTCTTGGGACATCCTGTGGCCTCTTGAGTCTTTCTGTGGCCTCCTGATGCCTCCTGGGACCTCATGTGGTCTCCTGGGGCCTCCTGGAGCCTGTTGGAGCCTCCTGTGGCATCCTGAGAAGAATCTGCGCCCACGAGCCTGGCCACCAAAACAAGCAAACCGATCGAGACATCCTCAAAATCTGGCCCACCTGGGGGTGAAAATGAGCGCCTCGCTCGAGACATCCTCCAAATCTGCTCCGAAAGCGAAGGATGTTGGGCCCAGAAACAAGCAAACCGCCTGAGACATCCCCACAAAATGGCCGCGAACGAGCCCGTGCAACCACCCCTGGCGGCTCCCCTTAGGGGTGCTGAAACCAGCGCCCCGCCTGAGACATCCTCACAATCTGCTCTCCAAGCGAAGGATGTTGGGCCCAGAAACAAGCAAACCGCCTGAGACATCCCCACAAAATGGCCGCGAACGAGCCCGTGCAACCACCCCTGGCGGCTCCCCTTAGGGGTGCTGAAACCAGCGCCCCGCCTGAGACATCCTCACAATCTGCTCTCCAAGCGAAGGATGTTGGGCCCAGAAACAGGCAAACCGCCTGAGACATCCCCACAAAATGGCCGCGAACGAGCCCGTGCAACCACCCCTGGCGGCTCCCCTTAGGGATGCTGAGTATGAGTAAGTCTGTGAATGAGTAAGTCTGTGTATGAGTAAGTCTGGGTATGCGTAGGTCTGTGTATGAGAAAGTCTGTGTATGTGTACGTCTGGGTATGAGTAAGTCTGAGTATGACTAATACTGTGTATGAGTAAGTCTGGGTATGAGTGAGTCTGTGTATGAGTACGTCTGGGTGTGAGTAGTATGAGTAAGTCTGTGTATGAGCAAGTAGGAGTATGAGTAAGTCCGACAGGAGGGGAGGAGAAAAGAGGAGGAGGGAGAGGGAGGAGTAGGAGGCGTCCAAGTAATAACAAGAACCCCATCTTAGGATATGGGAAAAAACGCACATGCCCGAGCGATGCCAAAGCTCTTTCCTTCCTCCCCCCCCGGCCTCGCCGCCGGCATGGGGGCTCGGGGGGGCCCCGTGCCCGCAGCTCGGGTCCGTCGCGCGGCGCGAACCTGAGGAGGAGGAGGAGCAGGAGGAGGAGGAGGAGGAGGAGGAGGAGGAGCAGGAGGAGCAGGAGCAGGAGGAGGAGCAGGAGGAGGAGGAGGAGGGAGGAGCAGGAGGAGGAGGGAGGAGCAGGAGCAGGAGGAGGAGCAGGAGGAGAAAGGAGGAGGAGCAGGAGCAGAAGGAGGAGGAGGAGGAGGAGCAGGAGGAGGAGGAGCAGGAGGAGGAGGAGCAGGAGGAGAAGCAGGAGGAGGAGCAGGAGGAGGAGGAGCAGGAGGAGGAGCAGGAGGAGGAGGAGGAGGAGGAGGAGCAGGATGAGGAGCAGGAGGAGGAGGAGGGTGCGCACACATATCACGATTCAGGCTCCACATGCTGCGCCCCTGCGTGGAACTCTGGCACGACCCTCTACAGATCACCCTGCTTCAAGGGAGGAGGATGAGGAGGAGGAGGAGGAGGAGGAGGAGGAGGAGGCCTCGCATCCTGCGACCCGATTACTTGGTAATCAGGGTATTCAGGCTCATCGCTCCCACCAGCCAGGAGTTGATCCACTCCTTCGCGAGCCCTCTCTGCACGACAAAACGTAACAGCCTCGTGGGGGTCACTAAATGGGGGGAAAACAAACCTACCTCGCTTTTGACCACCCTCGCTTGCAAGAGATACCAAACGATGCCAAATTGCAGCCTGTACTGGTCAGGCTGCTTGACGAGGAGGCGCGTGGTATGGCTTGGTTTTGCCTGGAAACGAAAGCGGGGTAGGTAATTCACGCTCTGACTAAAGCCGTGTAGCTGGGCTACACGATACATGTCGAGGGGCCTCGGGGAAATCCAACCCATCCTCTGGGGCAGGGTCAGCACACCGCTCCGAGGCCTCCGACGAAATCCGCCTCCCTTCCCACGACGCTCGGACCTCCACAGACGGCTCAACACATGAGGAGGAGGAGGAGGAGGAGGAGGAGGAGGAGGAGGAGGAGGAGGAGGAGGAGGAGCAGGAGGAGCCAGAGGAGGAGGAGGAGGAGGAGAAGGATGAGGAAGAGGAGGAGGAGGAGGAGGAGGAGGAGGAGATGAGGGAGGAGGGGAGGGAATTTCGCATCATGCGACGACATCCCCGTGCCGAACGTGTGAGGCCGTGCCGGAGGCCAGCGGAGGTGGGCCCGGCGCTGGGGACATGCCCACCTGCAGGAGGGCCCAGAGCCCGCACGGCGGGCGAGGATTCTCATGGGGGGCGAGCAATAGGGGGGGGGCAGCGAGGGCTGCAGAAAAGGGCCCCTGCAGGGGCCCTTGAGGGCCCAAGAGGGGGCTTCAGGCTCCAGGGCCCCAACAGGGCACCTTTCTCCCCCCCTATCTTGCCGTCGCTCGGACGTCCATTTCCCGTGCACTGTTCGGTTTCGTGTGTTTTTTGTTGCTCGATGGTCCAGGATGGTCCTCGATGGTTCTCGCCGAGAAAACATGCACGCGTCCGAGCGATGCCAAGCTATCTATCGCCCCCGCACTAACTCGCGCCCAACCACGTCGGGGATCTTCTGACCCGGGTCAATCCAAACCCGGGTCAGCAAGAAACCAAAAACTGCAATGCAAGAAAAATAAAACTGCAACGCAACGCAGGTCTTCGCAAACCCGGGTCAGCCAATATGCGCGGCCTCCTCGCGGCCACGAGCGGCTCGCTAACCCGGGTCAGCCAGAGGAGGTCTTTGCAGGATCCTGCAGGATCTGGCGCCCTGGCTGACCCCCGTTTGCATTGACCCCCGTCTCAAGGCCCCCGACCACGTCTCGGCGCAGCCCCTCCGGGGCGACCTGCAAGGCACGGCAGCCTCTCAGAGAGGACCTGCGCAGGGGGGGGGGGCAGCGCCGAGCTCGAGTCGGCGATGAGTCGCAGACAGATCGGCGATAAACCCCCGATAGCGAATCCGCGCATTCCTGGGCGGGGTATGGCTATCGGCTAGCTATCGGGCCCCTGGCTACGATGAGTGGATGGTTGGAGGTCAATGCATCCGCCCCTGAGCCTATCCCCCCTAGTGCTGCCTCCTGGCTTTCGGGCCATAACTCGGCTCCCTGGCGGCCGTTCGAGAATACAAGAGCCCCCCCAGGACGCCCTTGGCAAACCGCAGCCGCTGGAAGGCACCCCGGGGCTGGGAAGCCGCAGAGAACCAACACACACGCCAGAACCGCTTTAAGCCTCGAACGCCCAGGATGTCCCCTCTGAGCCTGTCCCCCCCCCCCCGATGCCCCCGATCGGCGGGGAGCGAGGGGGGGAGCGAGACGGAGGAGGCCTTCTCGGAAGGCGGCGGGGCGTCTTTTAGAGGAGCCCCGGGCCTTCTGAGAGGTGTTCTTGGTCTTCGGGGAAGCTTCCCTGACGACCTGTTCCCCCCATTCTAAAGATCGGCTATTCTTATGTAATTTCTATCTAGAATGCCGTAAATTCGACACACATTTTCAACGCTTCGCGTATCTCGAAAAATCGCAAAAAGCCAATCGTCGGATCCCCGACGCCGTCGTTCCGTCACTATACTTGGGCCCCCGGAGCTCTCGACCACTTCCACTGGGGCCAACCTCTCTCATCCCCGAGTACGTAGCCGACCGCGGGCGATAATAATACCCCAGAGATACTCCAGATTTCGTAATAAAAGGGAGGGGGTCTGGACCCTCCAAGACGAGCCATTTCAGACCCCCCCCGTGGGAGAACCCTGCAAAACATCGTCCCCAGACCCCCCCAGGCCCTCCAAGATAGCCTGGAAGAGACCCCACCCGAAATGAGACCCCCTCCCTTTTATTACGAAATCTGGAGTAATTAAGTTCGGGGGTCCGGCGGGGAGAATCAGGGATTTTGCCGGGGCAGGTGATGTCAGGTAGAAGTTCGCTATGATGATGCCGATGGTCATGATGATGGTGATCCTGAGAGCTCGGCGCAAGACTGGCTCGAGAGATCTCGATGCTCGTGGCTACAACTTGCCAGCAAGCGCTCGATTCGCAACTTCGCCGATGGACGAGATGAATGCAACATGGCATGATAGCACCTTCGATTCGCAACTTCCTCGGTGGATTATCAAGTTCGGCCTCCGCGCCCTTCTCCACAAGTAAATCCTGTTGAACGGGGATAATGAAAATAGAGGGGGTTAAAGGGGGGGATGATGTATTATCGCCCGCACTCGGTTAGTTTCTTGCCGATCCACAGGGCACGGCCGCCCTGCAAGACCGAGAGCGGCCAAGAAAACCGTCTGCCGTGTTTTTTTGTCACGGCGCGAGCGGGTTTGGCTTCGGGGACGCACAGATGCAGCAAGTTTGATGGGATTGTGGCCTCAGAAGCGCGAACAGGTGACAACTTACTGAGGGCTGCCGCATGGGGAGCGAGGTCATGGCATAATACCTGTTGGTGGTAGATGACGCAAGATTGTGGCCTCGTGGGTGGCGGGGTGCGTTCTGACCAGAATGTCGAGGGGAATCCAGCCGTGGCGACGAGGGCTCTCCAGGACGAGCAGCGGCATCGGCATTTAACCTCGCTGGGGGTGGCACTCCTGTTTGTGGCGGCGTCGCTCGGACGTCCAATATGTTTCGGCTTCGTGCGGCCATGTGTCGGCATGATGATCCGAGATGCTCCTCGCCGAGAAAGAATGCAAACGTCCAAGCGATGCCAAGCAGGGGCCCTGACTCCTCCCTCGGCTCTCCCTCGACGAGGCCAGTGCGGTCGGGCCGGCGTGAGCGGCGCTTCGCGAGGGCCACGAAGCGTGTGAAATGGCGAGGTGTCGGCATGCGGGCACTGCCACTGGGGCGTTCGGTGGAGCTCCCTATGGGGCCACGAAGCGCTGCACCGGGTGTGACGGAGTATGGCTATCGGCTAGCTATCGGGCCCCTGGCTACGATGAGTGGATGGTTGGAGGTCAATGCATCCGCCCCTGAGCCTATCCCCCCTAGTGCTGCCTCCTGGCTTTCGGGCCATAACTCGGCTCCCTGGCGGCCGTTCGAGAATACAAGAGCCCCCCCAGGACGTCCTTGGCAAACCGCAGCCGCTGGAAGGCACCCCGGGGCTGGGAAGCCGCAGAGAACCAACCCACACGCCAGAACCGCTTTAAGCCTCGAACGCCCAGGATGTCCCCTCTGAGCCTGTCCCCCCCCCCCCCGATGCCCCCGATCGGCGGGGAGCGAGGGGGGGAGCGAGACGGAGGAGGCCTTCTCGGAAGGCGGCGGGGCGTCTTTTAGAGGAGCCCCGGGCCTTCTGAGAGGTGTTCTTGGTCTTCGGGGAAGCTTCCCTGACGACCTGTTCCCCCCATTCTAAAGATCGGCTATTCTTATGTAATTTCTATCTAGAATGCCGTAAATTCGACACACATTTTCAACGCTTCGCGTATCTCGAAAAATCGCAAAAAGCCAATCGTCGGATCCCCGACGCCGTCGTTCCGTCACTATACTTGGGCCCCCGGAGCTCTCGACCACTTCCACTGGGGCCAACCTCTCTCATCCCCGAGTACGTAGCCGACCGCGGGCGATAATAATACCCCAGAGATACTCCAGATTTCGTAATAAAAGGGAGGGGGTCTGGACCCTCCAAGACGAGCCATTTCAGACCCCCCCCGTGGGAGAACCCTGCAAAACATCGTCCCCAGACCCCCCCAGGCCCTCCAAGATAGCCTGGAAGAGACCCCACCCGAAATGAGACCCCCTCCCTTTTATTACGAAATCTGGAGTAATTAAGTTCGGGGGTCCGGCGGGGAGAATCAGGGATTTTGCCGGGGCAGGTGATGTCAGGTAGAAGTTCGCTATGATGATGCCGATGGTCATGATGATGGTGATCCTGAGAGCTCGGCGCAAGACTGGCTCGAGAGATCTCGATGCTCGTGGCTACAACTTGCCAGCAAGCGCTCGATTCGCAACTTCGCCGATGGACGAGATGAATGCAACATGGCATGATAGCACCTTCGATTCGCAACTTCCTCGGTGGATTATCAAGTTCGGCCTCCGCGCCCTTCTCCACAAGTAAATCCTGTTGAACGGGGATAATGAAAATAGAGGGGGTTAAAGGGGGGGATGATGTATTATCGCCCGCACTCGGTTAGTTTCTTGCCGATCCACAGGGCACGGCCGCCCTGCAAGACCGAGAGCGGCCAAGAAAACCGTCTGCCGTGTTTTTTTGTCACGGCGCGAGCGGGTTTGGCTTCGGGGACGCACAGATGCAGCAAGTTTGATGGGATTGTGGCCTCAGAAGCGCGAACAGGTGACAACTTACTGAGGGCTGCCGCATGGGGAGCGAGGTCATGGCATAATACCTGTTGGTGGTAGATGACGCAAGATTGTGGCCTCGTGGGTGGCGGGGTGCGTTCTGACCAGAATGTCGAGGGGAATCCAGCCGTGGCGACGAGGGCTCTCCAGGACGAGCAGCGGCATCGGCATTTAACCTCGCTGGGGGTGGCACTCCTGTTTGTGGCGGCGTCGCTCGGACGTCCAATATGTTTCGGCTTCGTGCGGCCATGTGTCGGCATGATGATCCGAGATGCTCCTCGCCGAGAAAGAATGCAAACGTCCAAGCGATGCCAAGCAGGGGCCCTGACTCCTCCCTCGGCTCTCCCTCGACGAGGCCAGTGCGGTCGGGCCGGCGTGAGCGGCGCTTCGCGAGGGCCACGAAGCGTGTGAAATGGCGAGGTGTCGGCATGCGGGCACTGCCACTGGGGCGTTCGGTGGAGCTCCCTATGGGGCCACGAAGCGCTGCACCGGGTGTGACGGAACAGAGACATGCGGAGGGCAGAGGCAAGGAGGGGGAGGAGGGGGGGGGAGAGGAGGAAGGAACGCTGGGCGCTGTCTCTTCAAAAGGAGGTCCCAACACCACAGGATGGTTGGGAACAAGCAGACAACTTGCCGAAACTATGACACAAGTTTGTTTCGCTACAACATGAGTTTGCTTCCCAGCAGCCGCGCCGCGGCGACGGCCAAATCAGCGGTCGAAGCGAGGTGGGCTGTCGGCCCAATCGCCGATCGTGGCGCCCTGGCCCTGCTCCCTGGGGGGGGGGGAGGTCGCCTTCTCGTGGAGCTCCCGCAGGACCTTCTCCTGCGGCCGCTGGCTCGGCTTCGGGGGTGAGGCTCCGGGCCGCGCACAGTCAGCGCCCCCCCCCGTTCTCTTCCTCCTCCCCCGTCCACGCCTCCCTTCCCCACATCTCCTCTCCGTCCTCGTCCTCGTCGTCGTCGTCCTCCTCCTCGTCCTCCCCCTCCTCCTTGGTGAGGCTTCGGGTTGCGCGCGGACGCTCCCTAGTGGTCTGGGCTGGCCGCAGCATGCCCTCCGAGCAGCCCGGGGGGCGGTCTCCACACCCCGGCGCCGCCTTCGACGGCGCCCCGTGGCCGCTCTCGTCGGGGTGCGGAGGCCGCCCTGGGCAATTCGGCGGGCCTGCTGAGGCCAGGCGGGGCTGAGCACTTGAGGGGGCTGTCTGTGCGCGATTCCAGACCTTACCAATAAGGAGAGCGAACGGACCGCCCAAACAACAGAGAAGCAACCTTCTGCCAATTGCTCCGCTGTGAGGGCCTTGCGGAAAGGAGCTGCAGAAACACCTCGGCCCAGCGGTGCGAGTGGCGCTGAGCCCAGGCGAGCGAACAAAAAGCTCTCCACTGCCGTCTTGGCTTGGCTTCTTGGCTTCCACTGCTTCTTGGTTTGAGTGCACACTCGCGTCTTGGCTTCCACGCGCGGGGAAGGCCGTGGCCTCCTGGAGCCGGTGCGCACGGAGACCGCAGACGTGCATCGTGGCTGCAGCAGGGCGAGGTGCAGAAGAGGCAGGGGAGTTCAACAGGGAGGGATTGGGGGGGGGAGAGGAGGTTGACCAGGGGGGGGGGGCCTGGAATGCACAAGTTGCCTCGAAAAGGTACTCCCGAATCGTTCCAGCGATGCCCTCCCCAGGCCACTGCGCCCGACGGCCCGTCCCGGGCCATCCACGAGCGCCGAGCTAAGACGAAGCCAGGACGAGGATAGCATCGGGCGGAGAGGATAACATCGGGTGAAGATAAACGGAGAACAACTACTGAGATCCCGCGGCTCTGGAGCAAGTCTCGGTGGCCGCGGCCTCCCTAGAGCGTTCCGCAACGCTCTGGAAGTGATTTTATCCTCGCCCTAGCCCCGTCCGACGAGCCCACCCCTTACGCGATCCGACCCCCCCCACGCCCAGCGCCGGGCAGGCTCATTCCACGCCCCCACGCGATCCACCCCTCCAAGCCCATTGGGCAGCTCGGAGGATCGGGGACACATCCGGGAGTGTAGTCGTGCACACAGTTGGCTCCGGACGGAGGGGAGGGGAGTGGGAAGGGGGCGGCCGGTCGAAGGGGGAGGGGACAAAAAGAGGAAGGGGGACGAGATGGTAGAACATAGTGGAGGAAAGGCGTGAGTGGGAAGGGCAGAAGGAATGGACAACGGCGGGGAATAGTGCGCGGGGCGAAAACAAGCTCTAGAAGGGAAGGGAAGAGTATGGACGAGAAGGCGACCAGAGAGGCATATGGAGGTGGCGGCGACGGATGCGGACGATCCCTCCTCCTCCGCCTCCTCCTCCTCCCAATTCAGAGGAGGAAGACGAATGTAAATAAGAAGCAACAATAAAAATGAGGGAAGGATGGGAGAGACAGGGAGCGGAAGAGGGGAGATGATGACTCGAGAGGCGGAGACTCCGCAAAACAAATCGACAAATAACACGAGGAGGAGAAACCGTAATAACAATGGGATTCGGCCTCGCTTGCGCTGCACGCCTGATGTCTTGTGACTGCTCACTCTTGTGAGGAGGAGGAGGAGGAGGAGGAGGAGGAAGAGGAGAAGGAGGAGGAGGAAGAGGAGCAGGAGGAGGACGGGGGGGGAGAGGCGTGTTGCAAACGAATGGTGGACAAGGCTGACTACCATGGAGGACTCAACCTGTGGAGGGTGACGACGACAATAAGGTCGACGAGGACGACTACGAGGCCAACGACGCCATCCGCGTCCTCGCGTTGGTTATTGTGCTCCTCCTCGTCCTCACTGTCGTCTTCGTCCTCCTCCTCTTCGACCTCCTCCTCAGGAGGAGGGCGACGACGAGGACGACGACGAGGACGGCAGCGGCGAGGAAGACGTCGAGGACGACGGGGACGACGACGACGAGGACAACAAGGACCAGGAGGATAAGTCTTGCGGCCCGCTCCTGGTCGATCACCTTCGGCGCCACCTGGCCGCCCCTCTCCCACGGAGCACGCGCGAAGGACCCAAGAGCCTGGCTGTCCCGATACGCAATAAGCAACACGTAGCGTGTTGACACGGAGCTCGACACGTAGACTGGAAACGAACATTTTGCGCGATTCGTTCGCCAACAGCTGGGCCCATACATTGAGCCATCACGCAGCGTATTGCCACGGACATTTTGAGCACGATACGGGCTGCGCCCCAAAACGGGCGTATCGAGGCAGCTAAAGAGGGCACGTCCTTTGCAACATGGGCCCTCCAGAGGTCCCGCACCCCTCCCTGGGCGCCCCGACGAGGGGGGGCCGGGAAGAGGGAGGGGTCCGCGCGGGTCGTTGCGTGTTGGCGGCGCGATACAGGGGGGGGGGAGGGCGAAACGTGCACCATTCGTGCCCCTGGGGGCCCCTTTAGGGTACGAAAGGTGTACATTTCTTGACCCCCCCATCCATCCTCACCCCAGTGCGCAGCGCCCGAAGAACCTATAGATCGGCCTGCCTCTGGAGACGGCAGGCCCCAAAAAAGGGGAAGGGACGGGCTCTCCCGGGCGGAAACAGCGAGCTGGGCTCGGGGATACATCGCCGATAGATCTGCGACAGGCCCGCTGATCGCAGGGGCGCGCAGGCATGGCTTCGCGATCCATGGATCTGGCGCGTGGTCGCCAACTCCATGGATCGGGGCAGGTGCCCTGCCCGAGGTGCTGCCGGTGCCGCCTCGCTCGGCGGCGGGAGCATCCGCGATGTCCCATGGAGCCGGGACCCGTTCGCGATCGCCGGACGAGAGAGAGAGAGAGAGAAGCCGCGCGCGCCTGGGCGGGGTGGGCCCTCGGGCTCCTTGAGCCGGCGATGCATGGGCGATCGGGGGCGGAGGCGCTCCCCCCGAGCCCCTCTCCCCCCCCGAACCTTGCCACTGAGGGGAGGTCGGCTAGCCGCCGCTAGCCCGCTGACGCGTTGGATCTGGCCAGCTTGATCCTCCCTCTGTGGGGAAAAGCACACACAAAACACACACACAGTGGGAAAAACACACAAGCACACACACACACACACACACACTGTGTGTGTGTTTGTGGTGTTTCCCACAGTGTGTGTGTGTGTGTGATTTTGTGTGTGTGTGTTTTGCTCTTCCTCCCTCTTACCCCTCCTCCCCTCTCCCCCCTCGAGAACGGGAGAGTGTGGAGTGCCTCGGGGTCGAGGACGCGCGCGCGCGACACTCTCACGCCAAGGTCGCGCGTGCGTCCCTGAATGCTCGGCGTGCTCCTTCCTCTTCCCCCTTCTCTCCTCCTCCTCCTCCTCCTCCTCCTCCGCGTCCTCCTCCTCCTCCTCCTCCTCCGCGTCCTCCTCCTCATCCTACTCCTAGTCCTAGTCCTACTCCTAGTCCTACTCCGACTCCTCCTCAGAAGAGACACGGTCCTTCCCCCCCCCCAACTGAAAAATCTTGGTAGGGGGCTCCCAGTTTGCTTCGTTATTTTGTCCCACCCGTCCTGTGGTGTTGGGTCCTCGTTTTGAAGAGGCCATGCTCGCGTTCCTTCCATCTCCTCCTCCTTCCCTTCCTCCCTCCTCCCATTCTTGCCTATGCCATCCGCACGTCTCTGTTTCGGTACACACCTCACATGCTTCGTGGCCCCATGGGCTTGTTTCTTGCTTGCTAGCAAAAGGACTAGTATTAAAACACGCCCTGAGCGTGTTTGTTAACGTTTTGCAATATAGGCTCTTCACAAGCTAAAGACGCAACTCGTGTTTTTGGGGGGCCCGTCGCTATGGTTCATCATTTGTGTAACGTCTTTTTGCGTTCTGCTCGAAGGCTGCTCTGTGTCTTCCCTGCTGTCTTCGCTCCCGCTTGTTCGTTTCTGCCGCCGTTCTCCCTCTCAGAGCTAAAATCGGGGGCGGCCAAGAGGGGGGTGTCCAAGAGGGGGGGGTGCAAATCATGGCCGGCGGCATGTGCGCGGCCCAACGGGGGGCCAGGGACGTAATGAAATAAGAAGAGGCGCCATGAAATCTGAGCAAAGATCATGGCCCACGCCATGAAATCCACCCCCCCCTAGTCATCACCCCCCCTCCCCTGACCTTCCAGAGAGCGATTTGTTAACACTGGAGGCCTAAAAACGTAAAAAACTGAGCGAAACAGCCTAAAACCAAGACGTATAATAGCTTTTGGAAAGGTTTAAAGTCGCGTGCTATGTTTTAGCTCTCTTGGAAGGTCAGGGTCTTTGCCGCCCCCGATAGAAGAACGCTCTAACACTGGTCCACTGCTGGTCCGACACAGGCCCGGAGGCCCGAGGGCTCCAGAAGGGGCACTCGGCCACCGGGCCCGTCAGCACTGGTGACCACGGCAATGTCAAACACTGCGACCAGCCGATCTGAAAAGGTTAAATGCACGTACAGGGCAGTTTTTAATACATGGGATTGCTTAAAATATTTGATTTTAATACATGACTGGTTTATGAATAAATTCATGCACGAACTCATCTTTGTTTTTAATACTACATCCCTGCATGTTTAATTCCCTACCTAGGCTCTGCCTAGAAGGGTTCTTACTCTCTTAGCTTAAAGGGGCCGGGCAGTGCTACACGCCCCGGGCGGTTCCCCCGGTCCCCTGGAAGCGGTTCCCCCCAGTCCCCTGGGAGCTTTAGCTTTAGCTTTAGCTTAGCTTTAGCTTAGCGTTTCGCTTAGCTTTTCGCTTAGCGTTTAGCTTAGCCTTAGCTTAGCTTTAGCTTAGCTGTGGCTTAGCTTTAGCTGAGCTTTAGCTGAGCTTTAAGCTGAGCTTTAGCTGAGCTTTAGCTGAGCTTTAGCTTAGCTTTAGCTTAGCTTTAGCTTAGATTTAGCTTAGCGTTAGCTCAGCTTTAGCTTAGCTTTAGCTTAGATTTAGCTTAGCTGTAGCTTAGCTTTAGCTTAGCTGTTGCTCAGCTTTAGCTTAGATTCAGCTTAGCTTTAGCTTAGCTTTAGCTTAGCTTTAGCTTAGATTTAGCTTATATGTAGCTTAGCTTTAGCTTAGCTTTAGCTTAGCTGTGACTTAGCTTTAGCTTAGCTTTAGCTTAGCTTTAGCTTAGCTTTAGCTTAGCGTTACTGTTACTACTAATGCTGCTTTCCTAGGGGTTCCAACTCATAGGTAGGGTCGCACTGGGATAATACATGATCCGCACGCGGAACATGTATGAAAACGGCACTGTAGCTAAAGACATAAACAATGACCAGTCGTGTAGCGTCTGTAGTTCCTACTGTTGGGGCCAACAAGCGCCCAACAAATGAGTTCCAACACGCCAAATTAAAAAAGCTGTGTTAACAAAAAACGCCCTGGACATATCGACAAATAACCAAGCCCGTAGGGAGCTCCACGGAAGACCCCAGTGGCTGCGTTCTCATGCGCCCAGCGCGCCCATTTTGGAACACCCCTCACACGCTTCGTGGCCCAATTGGGGACTCCACCGAAGGCCCCAATGACAGGGTTTGCATGCGCCTTCCATACCCATTTCGGCACACCCCTCACACGCTGCGTGGCCCAATAGCGAGCGCCGCAGAAGGCCTCAGTGGCTGCGCTCGCATGTGCCCGCCGCACCAATTCTGGCACACCCCATCACACGCTTTGTGGCCTCATGAGGAACTCCACCGAAGACCTCAATGCCCGCGTTCGCATGCGCCCGCCGCACCCGTGTCGGCACAACACTCACGCGCTTCGCGGCCCGATCTGAAGATTGAGCGAAGACGATACTACAACTGCGATGCTCACAACGGCATTCGGCGGTGGACAAACCTCCCTTTAGTAGACCTCCCCTTAGTGAAAACGGCCTGGGACCGAAACCGACGGACCTGGACCCCCAAAAATGACGGCCGCGACGCCCTCCCGCGAACCGAAAACGGCCAATTCCTTAATCGACGCGTCAGGGTAGGAGGTCTGTCCGCCCCCGAGGCATATGGGTGGATCCTTCGCCATGCTATTTTTTCAGGGGGGGGCGAAGGACAACAGACAATCTTCGGGAGCGGCCAAGAGGGGGGTGTCCAAGAGGGCAAGAGGGGGGGGTGCAACTCATGACCTGCGGCATGTGCGCGGCCCAGCAGGGGGGAACGTAATGAAATAAGAAGAGGCGCCACGAAATCTGGGGAGATATCATGGCCCACGCCATGATATCCACCCCCCTAGTCATCACCCCCCTCTTTTCCGCCCCCGAAATCTCTCCTCCCCCTCCTCCTGCTCCGCCCGGAAGGGCTCGATGCACACATGACGTCGCTCCGTCGGCCAAGGAGATCGGCGTGCAGACGCCCCCGCTGCCCAACCTGTGGGACGCTCGAGCGCCTACACACCCAAATCTTAACGGGCGAAACACGGTATAAGATAAACTTTTTCGCTGTCGGGGGCGCCTGTCCCTGGGCGGCTGGAAAGTTTATACCCTTACGGTGGCACCGTAGGGGTATAAACTTTCCAGCCGCCCAGGGACAGGCGCCCCCGACAGCGAAAAAGTTTGTTTTATACCGTGTTTCGCTCGCCGAAAATCCTTCGCAGACGCAGAGCCATTGGCTCCTTGCCCGTATAGGCGACGTGGTGTAGACGCCGAGCCCTTTGCCGCCGCAGCTTCGCCGCCCGCCTCCTTCAGCTGGTCCACCAGCAGCGTCACCTTCGGAGCCAGCTCCAGATCTCCCCGGATGGCCTCTTGCGAGGAGGGGGGGAGGGGGGGAGCGGCGGGGGGCGCCGAGGTGCGTGGAACGGGGGAGCGAGGTCGGGAGCCGACGGTGGAGGCCACCGAGACGAGCTGGCGACCCGAGCAGGCACTCTGTGTGCTCGGTCGCAGCACTGGGGCTCGCACAGCGCGGGTCGGCACGGGACGAGATGCGTAGTGTCGAGCTCGCGCAGATCCGAGCAGAAACAAGTGGAGAGGCCGACAAATGGGTCCGAGTAGATGGGGTCGGAGAATCACGAAGCATTGTCGATGCATCCACGATGCATCGGCAACGTCAACGATGCATCGGTGACGTCGGAGTGGAGAATACCGGACTCCACATCGTGCCGTATCGCTGATGTCGGCGACAGGGCGCGATCCTCCGACCCCGTCTACTTCGACCCCATCTACTCCGACCCCATCCCCACGTATTGCAACCAGAAGAATCGCAATGAGCTCAGCGGAGGCACCATGGCTCTGGCCAACATATCCCCCCGATGATAGAAATGGGGAAGGAACAGGAGCGGTATAACGAAGTGCGTGAGGAGGATCAGGAGGAGGAAGAAGGATGAGGAGGAGGGGGAGGAATAGGTCCTCTTCAGGAGGAGGAGGAGTATAGCCAGAACCGTACTATACTACTGTTTGTTGGTTTTCTCTTGCGATGCCACCAAACCCTACTGCATTAGTGTGTGCTTGTTGCTGTTTGCTCTCAGGAAGCCCGCGAACCTGGCCAGGGAGGCCTCCGGGATCAGCATGGCAACTCAACCCTAACTAACATGCACAGGTTGGTTGGTTTGTCTTAGTCGATGGTACCACCTGCTGCCAGGAGGCCCGCGAGCTTGGTCATGAAGGGTTGCTGGAGAAGCAAGCCCACCAAACCTTACCATACACATGGCTTGTGTTCGTTCGTATGGGATACCACCAACACCCTATTCCACACCGATGTGCGTTGTGATGTTGCTGTTTTTGTTTCATGGCGTCGACAGAGCTTCGCCATGCCAAGCTTGCGGACCTCCTGGACGCCAAACAGACAAAACCATGCGTAGATTAGTTGTGGGTGGTATCCCACACAAACACATGTGTAGTAAGGTGTGGTGGGCATGCTCCTCTCGCAAGCCTTCCTGGCCAAGGTTGCGGGCTTCCTGAACACCTGAAACAACATGTGCAGTATAGGGTTCAGTGGTATCACAGATCAAACCACCAAACAAACAAACGGTGTTTCGTAGGGTATGGTTGCCATGCTTCTCCCGCAGAACCACCTGAGCAAGAGCAGGATGAGGAAGAGGAGAGACAGAGCGAGAGAGAGAGAGAGAGAAACAGGAGAGACCGAACAAGACACAGAGAGAGAAAGAGAAGGAGAGAAGACAACGATTGGGGAAGGAGGGTTTCTGGGGGAGGGTTGACCGTCATGTATCTACACAGGCGCACACAAGTCATAGCAAGAGCACGAAGGAAACACGTATTACAATACCACAAACCAGGGACATACACCAATAACAGGCATCCGCATCATACAACAACTCGCCGGCCCAACGGGCCAGAGGCGAGCTAAGATCCCTGGCAATTGCTCTAACAATACTTCTACTTCGCGCGCGCGGGTCGTCCCCTGGGGGTCCCCAAACGACAAGTACCCCAGCCGGTTTCGGATCAGAGATGGTTTTCCTTCTGGGCGTCCCCCTTCAGGCCCTCCAGAGCGCTCCGAGAGGCCCCAAAAATGCCCCCAAGACGGTCCAAGAGGGCTCTCAGTCGTCGAACGATCGGTCTAAGACGCCCAATGTGGCCTTCAGATGGCCCGAGACACCTTTCAAACGTCCCATGAAGCCACTAAGAGCTCTCCAAAGAGGGCCCCCAGAGGCAACAAATGGTAGATATGTGGTGGTGTTACAAGGGTTTAGGTTTTCTCCCCGCTTCGTTTTGATCGCCTTTCAAGACGACCGACAAGACCCCAAGATCGCCCCAATACAGCCCAATACGCCTCCAAGAGGGCCCGAAAACGGCCCCAGAGGGCCCGAAGACCACTCAAGAGCCCTCCAAGACGGCCCCAAGATGCCCCGGGAGGTCCCAAAAATACTGCCAAGAGGCCCCCGAGAAGCCTCCCAAGAGACCCCAAGCAGCCTCCCAAACAAGCGTCTTGTCAACGATCAAGTTTGGCCCCAAAATGCCCCAAGAAGCGATCGAGATGCATCCTGCTCATCCTCGTCCTCCCTTCCTCCTCCTCCTCCTCCTCCTCCTCCTCCTCTTCCTCTTCCTCTTCCTCCTCCTCCTTCTCACTCGCAACGAGCATCCCTGACGATCCTGACCCACAGCACACGCACAATTGTGGGATGGGTTCCAGGCTCTCTGCAATGCGCCCAAGATGCGTCCCAGATGCCCAAGACGGCTTCCAAGACGGACCTGGGAGGCAACTGAAACCGCCAAGATGGCCGAAGATGCCTCCAAGACAGCCAAAGAGGCCCCGAAGAAGCCCCAAGAGCGCTCCAAGAAAGGCCCCCAAGAGGGCCTGCAGAGACAACATTCATTGATTATGATCAATGTGTTTCAAGCTATCGTCTTTTCGAGCATCCGAAGCTCCAAGACGGCCCTAGGGGGCCCCAATACCGCCCCAAGAAAGCCCAAGAGGCCCCCAAGAAAATCCCAAGACATCCCGAGATGGCGACGAAACGGCCCAAGAGGCGCCCAAGACAACCCAAAAGAGCCAAAACGGCCCCAAGACGGACCCAAGAGGGGGAACACGAACCGACAATTCGAGCCTTGCGGCCGAAGAGGCCCCCAGGAAGCCCCAAAAGGCTTCCGAGGCGCGCAATGTGGGCCGGAGGAATGGGCGACGCCACCGAATAGTATGCAGCACGCCGACACATCAGCAACGCATATCAAGAACACACAAGCAATTCAAGCCTAGGCTTCACGACTGGGCTTCACGAACACATGCACACACACACACACGACTATCCATCACATGTCATACGCAAGAGCAACACACATAAGTTGCCATGTATCTCAGACATCGACCAGAGACATGCATCGAGGGCAACCGTCTAAAACAGGCGTCAGATCACGGGCACCCTAGACATACACGAACCGCATACATCGAGAGCATGTGCCAATGACGTCTCAATCGGATTCATCACACACAGACGCCATCAACATGGACAAACATGAGACGCAAGGAACACACACACCAATTACATACGTAACTGCCATGCGCTAATACCGAATACCCGCAACAAGCCTCATGCATCCATAACGGGCGCCAACAACGTCCAGCTATAGCATACACCAACACTTCACTTCAAGACCATAAGCCAAAAGTCAATCCCACAATCATGCAACAGGGCTGAACTCATGAACCTACATGAAGACCTTGCAATCTTGCGCTGGCAACAATCCCCCTTACCATACCTAATCCCACGACACCACTCATCAACAGCATATGACCATCGTCGGGAAGTATTGACAGACACCAAAAGCAAGACCAAAGACATCAACAACTCACATACACAAACCGTCAAGATCGCGCGTCTAGCATACACGCTAGGCACTTACACCAATCACATGTAACGACAAGGCACACCACTATAACACACACCACCGCAGACACCGCGTACAGACAGCAATCGCATATTCCAGTACCAGGCATCAATATCGCAAACCAGAAACGTACATCAATAAAACGCATGTGTGAACTGAGCTCAAAGCGGGCACAACACGCTGACAGCAATCCAAACAAGTGACTGGCAGACACCTGAAGTGTGCAGAACGATTGTGAATGGATACCACACGCGAACGATTCCAAATAACACAATAATATTAGGTGTAGCAAGGGTGCACCAATAAAGCATGATACAACATAGGTGCAAACCAAGTAAAGAGAACCTGTGCAACGCCCATTCGTATGCAATTTTGGAATCGATCACGCTGTAGAGTCAAACGAGGCTAACGTACAAACCACTCGCGTCATCTCTCTGGTTGGGGATCGCCCACAGCAAAAACAATCGTCCTAGGTAATTGTTGTTGATGCTCCCGGAACCGAAAAGCGGCCCCCAGACATAGAACATTGAAAGCACTCAGAGCCTTGTTTGTTCAATACGTTGAGCAAGATGGCGACAGTGACGACCCCCGGATGTCTCAGCGGGTGCGCTCTGGCCAGAATTCAGGAGAGCCAGCGGTGGCGTCGAGAGCTCCCCAGCAGGCCCCAAAAGGCTTAAACTATACAACAAAACATGAATCCTCGAACTCCGGCGGCGACGACGACGACGACGACCACGGCGGCGGCGACGACGACGACGGCGGCGGCGGCGAGTACCGACGTCGTCCGAGGTCCACGGGAACCTCCGCAGTCCTCGAAACCCTTCCCAAGGCCCTCGAGAGCCTTCGAAGACCTTTGGTGGCCCTCGAAGGCCTTCGCAAGACCCTCGCCGTTGACGACGACGACGACGACGACGACGACGAGGATGACGACGAAGACGACGACGACGACGAGCACGACGAACACCATGAGCACGGCGAGCACGACGAAGGCGGCGGCGGCGGCGGCGAGAGAGGTGGCCGCGCGGCGGGGGAGGCTAGAGGGCAGAAAACCCACCCCGAGAATAACCCACCCCGACACGCGAAGTCGTTTCGTAAACGCATCCAAAGAGAAGGAATCAAGCCGGGCAGGGCTGTTTCGTAAACGCCGAGGGCCGCTGAGTATAAACGCCAATTGTCTGGTCTGGGCGGTTTTTTCGGGGATGGACAGGCCCCCCTTTAGTAAAACGTGGTTCAGTGAAAACGACCTGAGGCCCAAACCTGGCGGGCGCAAGCCTGGAACAAAAAACGGCCACGGCGCCCTCTCGAGAACCGAAAACGGACAATCCACTACTCGACGTGTCACTGTTGGGGGTTCTGTCCACCCCCCATTTTTCCTCCCTTGAGAGGAGCCTGGACCTCGCAGACCAGCTCGTCCAGTCTCTCCTGGCCACCGGGGGCGCGCCGCCGCCGCGCCGCCGCGCCGCCGCCCGCGATGGGGGCCCCTCGGAGGCCCTCGAGCGGCCCCCCCTCGGAGGCGAGCGCCCCCGCCAGCAGGCCATCGAGCGGCCTCTCCGCGGCGGGGCCTCGCCTCGAGCAGCCCTCCGACGGGCCTTCGGCGGAGGCCCTCGGGAGGCCCGCGGAGGGCCGTCGGAGGGCCTCCGCGAGGGCCCTCCGGAGGCCCGCGGCGGCCCTCCGAAGAGCGCCCGAGGCGGCAGGTCGGGCTCTGCGGGCGCTGCTGGGTGCCTCTGCTGGCGGCCGCCTCCTCGCTCGCCTCGTCGCACGCCTCGCGCTCCTCGTCGTCGGCGCCGTTCCCTTTTGTCCGTGGCCACTTCCTCGTCCTCCCTGTGCTCGAGCACTCCACAGGCTCCTCCTCATGCTATTCTCCCCATCGCCTTCGCCCTCCTCCTCCTCCTCCTCCTCCTCCTGCTGCTCCTGCTCCAGTTCCTGGTCCTGTTGAGAGTCTAGCTGCTGCTGCCGCCGCTTCTTTTTGCAGCCAAGCCACACGGGGGTTGATGAGGAGAGGGACGTGGACGAGGAGGAGGGACGAAGAGAAGGGAGACATAACGACGAAGGAAGTACTGATCACGAGCACAACCATTAGAGGGACCAGGAGTGGGACACGACTGGGAGAAGGAGATTCAACAACACCGGATTCAAGCTAGCCAGGTCGAGCGGATCGGCTGGCCCCCCCGCCCAGTCCCACCCTCCCTCCCACAGCATGAGAGACCGTGGTGGTGCAAGCTGATGCTGGCACTGACGCGCTGCTCGCCATCGCCTGGGCGCCCCTTCCTCGTGCGTGGTGCGGTTTCGTGCGCGTGCCCGTCGTAGGATGATCTGATGCGCTCTTCGATGGCTCTCGCCGAGAAGAAAGGGAAACACGTCCGAGCGATGCCGAGCCAAGCGAACAACTGGCACTCGCGCGCGGTCCAGCGTCCCTTCCGACGGTTTCGATGAGGGGGAGAAACAAACAGGCCGCGCACGGGCGCGAAGGGAACAATTTGCCGAAACCATGGCGCAACGCCTCACGAGAGCACCATCTGGCCCTCTCCCGCGAGGCCGTGCAGCAGGTGCTCGACCACATGAAGCCTTCCACGGGAAGCCCAGCCCTGAGACCCCAGGGCGTCCCCTTGAAATCTGGCGTGGGCACGCCCCGCTTCACGCCTCAGAACCATCGAAACCCAAGACACCCCGGTCACCCTGGAGGCAAGCAGGGTGTCTCTTGGCATGGGTTTCCACTGTATGTCCGGCAGAGCCAAGATTTGGACGCCCGAAATGGGAACGGAAAGAATGGGTACGATGCCCAACAACAAATGTTGTCCCAAACCAACAGCGGCCGCTGTTGGGCAGGCGGCCTTCTGTCTCGAATGGACACAGGCCGCGGCGGCGTGGACAGCGGATCGTGTTCAAAATGAACAGGAACTGCTGTTGGGCATAGTACCCATTCTTTCCGTGCCCATTTCGGGCGTCCAGGCAAGAACATCGGATCGAAAAATCAGATCGGTGATCGAAACGCGCCGGATCGGCGGAGATCCGCGGCCGGGTCGGGAGGAGTGGAACCGGCGGAGATCGGCAGGCTGGCAGGCCTCCATTGAGAACTCGTAGCCCAGATCGGGATCTCAAGTCGAATCGAATCGGAGTCGGAGGCCATCGAAATCGAATCGAATCGAGCCCCGAGCCCTGATGATTCGGAGATCGGAACTTGGCGAGCGGTAAGTGTTCGCCGCGCGCTGGCGGGAGCTCAAATCTCAGGGCAAACTGGGCGCCGCGCCAAGGCGAAAGCGATAGTTCGCCCTCTCGCGCGCGCCGCGCGCTGCATCCCATTTCTGGCGCGCATTTCGCAACGCTAACGACAAAACGTCCTTGCTGAAAGGGACACCTTGAACATTCTTATGTCTTCCACGCCACGAATGCAGTTACCTATATCTGTATAAAAGAATAGAGATGTATACACAGACGCCCTCCAGAGCGGGTGGTGGTGTGAAGTCGCTAGGTCCCTCATTGGCGATTTACGCACCGTGACTCCCCTGGGGCCTAGGAGCAGTACATTGAAGGGTGTCTGTGTATCTATTTGTGTGGAGGACTCTTGATTGGTAGGATGGAGCGTCCCAAATACGGGGGCTATCACAAGGCCGGGTGGCATAGTGGAAGTATACACTAATAGGAGGCAAGGGTCGGGGGAAGAGGACAACAATGATGCAGAGGGCATGCCGGATGTCGTCCCTGGAGGCGGCCGGAAAGCCGCAAGGGCCTCTGGCATGCCCGAAAAAGGTACGGACAAACTGTTCACGAGGCCCAAGCACAGACGTAGTCCAATGACGACAGCGGCAGTTGTTGGGGAGGCGGCGTGTTGTCTCGAGTTGACAACGGTTGCGGCGACGCCGACAGCGAGTCACATTCGAATGGAAACGACATGATGCCAATATTCATCACCGTCATCTCGCCATCGCTCGGACGTCCATTCCCTGTGTTTTTTTCGGTTTCGTGCGTGGTTCTTTCGCCGAATGATCAAGGATGCTCCTCGATGGTCCTCGCCGAGGAAAAAACGCACACGTCCGAGCGATGCCAAGTCATGTGCAAGCGCATCGACGATATGAACATAAACATTCGGATGTCGGCACGGATGCCTGGGATCGGCTCTGGACCCCCCTCCCCGACGCGCGGAGCGCGCGGACGTAGGCGCCAGAGGCGCCGCCAGGAGGGTAACCCAGCACGGGTCCACAGATCCAAGAAATTCTCTCGGAGTTCTGGAAGTTGATGTTGCAATTCGTTCTTCGAGTCCACATTCTTCCCGTATGGACTACCTGCGCAGACACAGACTAGCGATCCGTGGACTGGGCGCGCGGTCGCCAAAAATCCATGGATTAGGGGGAAACGCCCTCCCCAAAACGCGGCCGGTGCCGCCTCGCTCGGCGGCGGAAATCCGCGACTCCCCATGGACACAGCCCGTCGCTAATCCACGCCCCCTTTGATGCATGAGGAGGAGGGGGAGGGGGGAGGAGGAGGAAGGGGAGGAGGAGGAGGCGCAGGAGGAGGAGGCGGAGGAGGAGGAGGAGATGGAGGAGGAGGAGGAGGCGGAGGAGGAGGAGGAGGAGGAGGAGGGGAGGAAGGGAGGAGGAGGAGGAGGAGAGGAGGAGGAGGAGGAGGAGGAGGGAGGAGGAGGGGGAGGAAGGGAGAGGAGGAGAGGAGGAGGAGGAGGAGGAGGAGGAGGAGGACATTCTTCCCGCATCCGCCTCGATCGCCCCGCGAGGAGAGCCCGCTGCCCGCGGCGGGAGCGGGGCAGGGCCACCCCCGTCGCCTCCGCCGAGCTGCACCGGGCGCTGCAGCTCTGGAGCTCGTCCGCCACCGCCTCCCCCGGGGCGGGGGGGGGGGGGACCTCCTCCCTCTCCTCCCTCCTCCCTCCCCCTCCTCCTCCTCCTCCTCCTCCCCTTCCTCCTCCTCCTCCTCCTCCTCCTCCTCCTCCTCCTCCTCCTCCTCCTCTCCTCCTCCTCCTGCCCTTCCTCCTCCCCCCTCCTGCCCTTCCTCCTCCCCCCTCCATCTCCCCCTCCGCGCGCCTTCTGGACAGTTTGCGGCGTCTTCGGAGGAGGCTCAGAGGACTTCTCAGACGGCGCGAGGCCTTCTGAGAAGCCTCGCCGCCTCTTGAGAAGGCATGCCCCTGGGAAACCCAAACGATACCAATACCGCTACACACTGGACCTCTCCGGGGGGGGGGGCGTTCTGACCAGGATTTCGACGCGAATCCAGCAGTGGCGACGGGGGCCGCCCAGGAGGCGAACAAAAGGGGGGAAACGAAGAAAGGGTAATTAGAGGTATGCGTACCTTTTGCTCCTCTGAGCCCCCACTCGCTTCCCCCCCGGGCTCGCCGCCGAGCTCTCTCTCTCTCTCTCTCTCTCCAGGGCGCCTCGAGCGTGGCGAGGGAGACACTACCTGCCAAACCGAGTGGGCCACATGAGCCCGGCCCGCCGGCGACGACCACCGCCACCACGACCTCCACCAGACATCTGGATGTGCTTTGCCCCAAAACTCGGCGGCGAGCGAGGAGGGAAAACGAGAAGGAGAAGGCCCTCTCAGAAGGCGACGGGGCTTCTCAGAAGCCCTCGAAAACTTCTCAGAAGGCCTATGGACTTCCGAGCCTTCTGAGGATGCCCGCCCCCTCTCACTAGACGCCATGCGAAGGCACCTACTGGGGCCATCGGTGGAGCTCCCTGGGGCAGGGAACGTTTGAGGAGTGTGCCGAGATGCGCGCGGGGACACCATGCGAACACACCCATTCTTGGCCATAGGCGGAGCTCCCTGGTGGGCAAGAAACGTGTGAGGGGTGTGCCGAATTGGGCGCGGGGCCGCCATGCGAACGCACCCACTGGGGCCATCGGTGGAGCTCCACGGGGGGGCAGGAACCGTGTGAGGGGTGAGCCGAAATGGGCGCGGGGATGCCATGCGAACGCACCCACTGGGGCCGGGTGTGAGGCTCCCGATTGGGCAACGAAGTATGTGAGCGTCCCGAAACGTCTTCTCTTTTGCACTCACCCATGCCCAAGAAAGCAAGCGCGGACAGTGACGTGCAAGACCTCGACGCAATTGTGGAGGGCGAGCCAGACACGCTCGGCGGCATTAAGAAACTCCTGAAGGAAAAGATCGGCCCCATCACCCGCTCAGTGGCGAAGCTTTGCGCGGATCTGACGATGCTGCAAATGAACATGCAGGAGGAACTGGGGTCGGTGGGACTCCGCATACCCGGTAATGCGGTAACCGGTGACTGGCTCCATGCCAATAACCGGCGCGGGATCGGGGTCGATTCCGTGCCCGTAACTGGCATGGAGTCGAAAGATCAACAGATGCAGCGTGGAGTTGACAAGCTTCAGGAGGTGGTGAAGTCCATGCAGACCAACGCGACAATACAGGCCTGGCAGCACGTCCGACAAAACAGCCTCGCGCCTCAGAGTCTCACGACCGTCCTTGTCAACATCTCGAACGCGGACGGCACCGAGAAGGCCATTGAGTGGGTCAACGCCAGCTGACAAGCGGTGGGAAGCTCTAGTCCGTTGGATGCCTTTCGCAAGGTGCAGCAATTCAACGGCGCCCTCCTTATGAAAGGCTCCACGGTGATGCATAGGGACTCCATCATCACGTCTGTCAGCCAAGATCCAGCGGGGTCATCGGGAAAACCGTGGGCTAGAGTAGATCAACCGTTCAACATCTGCACCGCCGAGTCCGATGTGTTCGCCTTCAAGCGCATCTTGGTGACTTGGGGGTACGGCCGGAGGGAGGTGGAGGTAGACGTGGTCGACCACACAATGACGCTACAATAGTGCAACGGGGATTGGCAGCGCTGGGAGGAGCTTCAGTCTTCCCCGGAACTCACCCTCCTCAAAACCACGACGCAGGAGAAGCTCGACCAGGTGAAGAACATGCCAGTTAAAGGCAAAAGGGCGAGGGCCAGTAGGACGTATGGCAGCTCATGGATAAAACGATTCCGAAACATGTTTCTGACAACGGCGAGTGCATAACCATATGCACATGGAACGTGGAAGGACTGACAGACACCAAAGTCGAACAGACTTGCTCGTGTATGAATGCAATTGGGCGAAGATCTAGAAAGCGAGATTACATATGAAACTTTACGCCGCGGCTTAATTACGCGGGCCACCAAGGCGGCATGCCACATTGAACACGAGGGCGGTTACGCGCGACCTTACGCGGACAGCTTACGCGCGAATGTCGGGGAAGACGACCCAGCCTTTCCTTGCGTCGCTCAATTGACGTAACGATTCTCAAAAAAACGCAGCGATTAAAGTCCGATCAATTTAAAAAGGAATCCGGACATCATATTCATCAGTCCGGCTCCAACACCAAAGAGTAAGAATTGGCGGGTTTATCGTTTCAAGACGCTTTCGCAACAGAACTCGCCGGGTGGGACGCATCCACGTGAAAACAACTGGAAGAACCATTGCGATCATTGGGGCATATGCTCCGCACAACCACCGCCCGCTCGACAAGCGTTTAGCGTTTTACGATACGCTGGAGACGCACATGGGCAAAATCAAGGTCAGTGGAGAGCAGTGCATAGTTGGAGACATGAACGCTCGATTGGGTTGTCAACGGCTGGGCGGGGAAGACTCTGTTGGCGACTGTACTTTCCGCCGCGAGGGACAACAAACACTGGCAATGCCCAACAAGGACTTGAAGATGGAATTGAGCATCAACTGAGGATACGCTATCGAGAATACATTTGTGCCAAACGAACCCACCCGGCAGGTGACCTACTAAGAGATTGGCTCCACGCCGGCGTCGCCGATCACCGAGACTATGGTCGCTATGTTGGATTTGGTCCTCGTGACAATCGATGTCATGTGGAAAGCTCGGTATTTACATAGAGACCCTTTGGCTGCGATGTCGAACCATCACTTCCCAGTGACTGCCAGTCTGTGTATCCAACAGGCGCGACGGAGCACGCCTGGCCCAAGCATATTTATCTGCAGTGTCTGGAACAAGGGTGAGGGACGCATTCCTACATGGCTTTTCCTCTTCGACACGACGCGACCGAGGAAGAACGGCCATGCTTGGACACGTCGTGGGAGCGATTGCGAACCAATCTTGGGACAGCGGCCAGCCAGGCGATCCCGGAGCTCTCACGCAGCCAGCGTAGACCTTGGATCAACGACGCGACCTTGAGGCGCATCGAACACCGGGCCCGGTGCAGACAGCCGGCAGACGCAGAGATCGAAAAGAGGGCAACCGAGGCGACAAAGAAGTCCACTCTCCAGGACGGGGCGCGTTGCCTCCGGGAGCTCCGCCGCGGCCAGAAGGTCACGCAAACGAGGTTGCCGCCGGACGGCGGGGCGCCGGTCGGGATCGAGGACAGAGCGGCAAGCTTTGGAATATATTCGGAAGCCGTGCATGGGCACCTGCGCCCCGTGTCCGTGTTAGACGACGCGCCAGCAGCGACATGCAGTCCCCTGGATGTGCACGAGCGGGACTTTCCATCTACAGAGCTCGGCAGATCGATCCACGGAATGGCCAGCGGAACTCGTCAAGGCCCTGGCGACATCCACCAGAGAGAGTCTCTAGCCCTTGCTCGACGTCATGAACATGTGAATCCTTCTCGGGCAGGTGCTCCAGAAATGGATGATCACCAAAGAAAACAAGGTGTTCAAGAAGAGTGACCTGGGATCTTTGGATAACTACAAGCCTATCTGCTTACGTTGAAAGGCATACCGTGTCTTTACCAGCATGCTCAAACATCGTTTTCTTGACGCAGCGCTCGACGATAGAAAATGGCCGACGCAATTCGGCTTCCGAACGAACTGGTGCACGGACGACGACATATTCGGTGCTCGAAGACGCATCGAACTCGCACGTGCGCAGAAAGTCTGGCGCAAGATGTTTGATAGCGTCAACGCCGACAACATGCTTTTAGCGCTGCAGAGAAACGACCGCAGCGGTCTGGCATCTCGCAAGGATGAACGCTGAGCCAGCTGTTCATCAATGTGGTGTCCTGCATGACGGAGGACGCGGTTGCCCAGCTCTCCCCCGGGCGCGTCTGCGGCGTACATGCATATCAAGGAGAGAGCGTGATCCAAAGCCGCTTTACTGTAGAAAATTGCCAACCTTTTCCTCCGGAACCCGGGGGTCGCCCTCCCCCCCCTCCGAAAATCCGCCCCCCCCCCCCCCTGCTGGACCCCCCCCCCCTCCACCGGCAAACCCCCCCCCCTAACCCCTCCCCCCCCCCCTCGAAAACCGGGGGGGGTCACTACCGGTTCGAACCCCTCCCCCCCCCCCCGGATCCGGAAAACCGGGGGGGTCACTACTAGTTCGAACCCCCCCCCCCTCGAAAACCGGAGGGGGATCACTACCGGTTCGAACCCCTCCCCACCCCCCCTCACCGCCCGCCAGCAAACGACTCCCGGTCCCTACCACCGTCCGCATCACATCCCCCACTGTTGTTCCCAGCACCACTGTCCTCACCCACCGTCCCTACTGTCCCCACCAGTGCCCCCACCACTGTCGCACTGTCCCCACTGTCCCCACCACTGTTCCCACCACGGTTCCACTCTCCCCACTGTCTCCACGGCCCCAACCACTGCCCGACTATCCCCACTGTCCCCACTGTCCCACTGACTCCGCCGCTGTCCCACTGAGCTGTCCCACTGTTCCCACCACTGTCCCCACTGTCCCCACCACTGTCCCCACTGTACCTCTGTCCCATTGTCCCACCGCCGTCCTCGCCACCGCCTTCACCACTGTCCCCACCACCATTGTACCCTCCACTGTCCCACTGTTTCCACCTCATTCCCACTGTGCCCACACCACTGTCCCCACCACCACCGTCCCCACCACTGTCCACTGTCCCCCCTGTTCCCACCATTGTCCCCACCACTGTCCCCACCACTACCGGCCCTCTACTGTCCCACTGTCCCACTGTCCCCACCACTGTCCCGCTGTCCCCTCACCACTGTCCCCACCAACACCGTCCCCACCACTGTCCGCACCCCCACTCGGTTTTCGAGGGGGGGGGGGACTGCTGCGTGCAGTGTGAAGAATTGCTCATGTACTTTGGGTCGACTCTGACTGCCGACGGAAAGATGGCGACCGAACAATCGGTTTGGCGAGCGCGGAGTTCTGCGCTGTGAGGCAACTGTGGCGGCATTCTCCTGTATCTCGACGATGGAGGCTGCATATGTTCACCGCCTAATCTCTTTCATGCTACTGCATGGGTTCTCCGCCTTATGCTCTTTGGGAAAAGGAGCTGCGGAGGCTAGACGGCTTCCATGCCAAGTGTCTGAGAATTACAACGGGCATCCCGCCATCTCCCATGTCTCGGGGATCTCGAATGCAACGGCCCTGCACAAGGCTGGCGTGCAGTCCGCTCCAGACCAACCTCACAAACGGCACCTCGCGCGCATCGGCGAGAGGATGCGCTCTCCGCCGGCACCGGCACTGAGAAGGGCGTCTTCCTTTTCCCGGGACAGTCGTCCCAGCCACCGACTGCTACGGGCGACGGCACGGACGACCGAACAAGGAATGGATAAGCACAGCCATGCCAGAGAGGTCATCTAGACGGCCGGATCAGGTGTGCGATTCCGCGAGCGGAGGAGTTGCCGTAGAAGCGGCCAGTGTACAACAAGTGATTGAGCCCACGCCACTCCGACACAGCGTTATCGTAGAACGGATCGTCCCTCCTCCTCCTCCTCCTCCTCCTCCTCCTCCTCCTATCTCTACATGTCCTCCCCGTTCCTGCCGTTCCTCCTCTCCTCTCGCTTTCCTCCCTGTTCTCCGCTCTCCCTTTCCTTCCCTGCCTTCCCCCGCTTTCCGTGATGTTTGACTCCGCATTGTTCAGAAACCACGCAGACGCGCCGACCTGCATGCCGCCGCGCACCTCTACGGGCTGCCCGCAGCCTACGACTCCCACCGATCGGCCGAAGCTGAAGAAGTGGGGGGAGGAGGGCGAGGGGGAGAGGGAGAAGAAGACGCGCGGCGCCGCGAAGGCAAAACGAGGAGCCAACACACAGGAGGGTTGAGCAACAGTCAGGCTCAGAACCTCGAACCATACCCCCCTTCTTAATGTCTGGAAACAGGTGCTGGGCCACTTCAAAGCCCCCAGCATACTCCGAGGGTGATTAGCAAAAAAAACCCAACCCTTTGGGAGGAGGCCTAAGTTAGGAGGGCCAACATGATGCGGGATAGGGGTCTGCCCTGCAAGACGGGGGCATCATGTCAGGCCACGCCATCATCGTGTTATTCGGGTTCGTGCCTTTTGCCCTCGAGGGAAGGGAGGTGGTTCTCCCTGTAACCCTGGGGCTACTATTTAAAACAGGGCTAAGATCGTGATAAATCGCTCCAGAGCGTTCCGGAGCGCTCTCAGAGCGTTCCGGAACGCTCTGGAGCGGCCGCGGCGCCCAGTACATCCTCCAAACCCGCCGATTCTCTGAGATTTCGAATTATCCCGATCCGATTTTGTCCCGATCTTCGTGTCGTTTTACTACTGCCCGTTTCGGTCGCACCGCCGCGCCGTGCCTGCGCCGCGCCGTTGACGCCCGGCATCGCCAGCGCGTGATGCCACTCCGACGCCGTGCCGGGCTCTCCGCGCAGCGGCGTCGGCGGCGCCTGGCGGTCCTGCGGCCGCGCGCAGGCCAGGGGGGGAGGCAGAGGCGGCCCTGGTGGGAGGCAGGACGACCCTGACCAGACGTGCTCGCGCTGAAACAACAACAGCAACAACAACAACAGCAACAACAACAACAGCAACAACAGCAACAGCAACAGCAACAGCAACAACAGCAACAGCAGCAACAACAACAACAACAACGACAACGACAACAGCAACAGCAGCAGCAGCAGCAGCAACAGCAACAGCAACAGGAACAGCAACAGCAACAGCAACAGCAACAGCAACAGCAACAGCAGCAGCAGCAGCAACAGCAACAGCAACAGCAACAGCAACAGCAACAACAACAACAACAACAACAACAACAACAACAACAACAACAACAACAACACAACGGGAAATTCTGGGCAACCGTCGGGCTCTGGGGAACCGGGCCCAAGGACCGTCAAAAAGCGGCGCAGGATAACAAACTGGCTCAGGGGAGAGGGTCGGTACTTCTGGGGACCGCATGCAACAAAAATCCGCCGACCCCTTGTGGCTCTCTAGGCGTGTGAGACTATCCCCCCCCGTAATCCCCCTAGGGACCCCAAACCGACAATTTGACCCCCTCCCCCTGGCCGAGCCCGACCCCGGACCGAACGCGCCACGGGGGAGCGGAGGGCTCCAAAACTGGCCAAGAAGACGCCAACTAGGGGGCCACGATTCGCCGTAATATCGCCCTTGGACGCCCACGATGGCCTCCAGGCGGCCTCCAAAGCTGCCAAGAGGCCGCACAAAACCCCCAAGATGCGCCCCAAGAGGGTCCCAAGAAACAGAAGTCGTCCCATCCCCTTCGAAAAACAAGCATTTTCGCATGCTCGCTTATTCGGTGTTCACGACGTCCCAGACGGGCAAAGCAACCTTCAATATCTCCCCCAGACGGCCAAAGGGGCCCGCAAAAGGGGTCGAAGAGGGCCCAACAACAGCCGAAGAAACCCCTTAAGACAGCCCAGGAAGGCCCCCAGACGGCTCTATGACGGAGTCCAGAGGGCACCTTTTCTAGCTTTCGGCCCCAAAACGCCCCCAGCCTGCCCCAAAAACACCCCAAGAGGCCCTGAGGGACCCCCAAAAGAACCTGAAAGGCCTCTAAGAAACGCCCAGGAAACCCCCAAGAGGCCCCGAAACTTGGCCCAAGATGCCTCAAGGCAGCCGGATATGGCCTGCAAACAGGCCAAGATGCCACGCAAAGGCTACAAAAGAGCACCAAGAGGTACAATAACAGCAACGAAGCAACAGGAACGATGTCGAGCGCCGTGTCATATGATTCGGACAAGCGTCGCGAAATGCAGTCCAAGAGGCGCACTAGTTCATGTAGGGGTCGGCGGGTGTGGCGTAAGTCTGTAGAATCCACGTCCGGAGGTGACGTCCTGAGCGGCAGCGTTTTCACCGGAGGCGATAATTCAACGTACCCAATGTATCCAAGTGTTGCATAATTGCCACATATCGTATTGCATTACATTATTATGTCTCCCCACATACCCCCCCCCACGGGCTACGCCACATCCGTCGACCCAAGATGGAGACCCCCATTGATGGCTCAAAAACGTACCAAAACCTATAGAAAATCTATGGTTTCGACCTCTTGGGCCTCTCGGGGGGCCACGAGGGCGCCAAGACGGCTGAAGATGGGCCCAAGAGGGCCCGAACAACCCCAATGACGGCCCAAGAGGGCCCCAAGAGCGCCCACAACTTCGCCTCCAGAGGCCAACATCATTGATTTTCCTATGGCTCTGGCGAGCTTTCAGCGTTCTCGCATGTGCGGCCCAAGCAGCTTCCAAAATCGCCGCAGAACGACCCGAAAAGTCTCCAAGAGGGCCCCAAGACGGCCCAAAGAGGCCCCCAAAACGGTCCAAGAGGCCCCTAAGAAGGCCCAAGAGGACCCCAAGAGGGCCCCAAGGCGGCCGCGAGAGGCCCCCAAGACGGCCTCCGAAGTTGCGAAACCGCTGCAGGGGAAAAAAAACAAAAACACACACACACACACACACAAACACACACACACACACACACACACACACACACACACACACGCACACACGCACACACGCACACACACACACACACACACACACACACACACACACACACACACACACACACACACACACACACACACACGCCCCACGACGGCCCAGGACGCCCCCAAAAGGCCCCAAGAGGCCCCCAAAAAGGCCCCCAAGGGGCCCCCGAAAAACCCCAAGAGGCCTCCAAGAAGTCTCCAAGAAGCCTCCAAAAGGCCCCATAGAAGCCCCCCAAAGCCCACACAGCGATTGGGGTGCACTGTCACTTTTCCCCCCTGGGCGAAGTGCGGCGCAGCGCCAGCCAGGTGGAAGTTGGTCACGGCGGCGCCCATGATTAGAGCTGGCGCTGGAAGGGGATATGAGGAGGGAGTATGAAGAGGAAGGGGGAGAGGCCCCAAAGACGCCCCCAAGAGGCTAAAGAAACCCCCAAGAGGCCTCCAGGAGGCCCCGAAGAGGCTCTCAGGAGGCCCCGCAACAACTGGACTGTACGCGGTCCGGACGTGCACCCCCACGAAGCGAGAGGAATCAGGGCATCGCATTCTCTGGGCACTGGGGGGCAGCGATACAGCCGAACCTAGGACAGAATGGTGACCCTCAAGACCAAGGGACCCTCCGCCGGCCAAGAAAAGCAGAACATCCTGGGCGGTCGCCCCCAGGGTGCACACGAACATCCAACGAGCACGGGATCCGCTGGCAAAAACAAACAGAACATCCACGGGGGTCGCCCCCCGGGTGCGCACGAACATCCCACGAGCACGGGACCCTCCGCCGGCCAAGGAAAAACAGAACATCCTGGGCGGTCGCCCCCAGGGTGCGCACGAACATCCCACGAGCACGGGATCCGCCGGCTAAAAAAAAACATAACATCCTGGGGGGTCCTCCCCAGGGTGCGCACGCACATCCCACGAGGACGGGATCGGCTGGCCAATAAAAACAGAACATCCAGGGCGGTCGTCCCCAGGGTCGCACGAACATCCCACGAGCACGAGTATAACATCAGGGCACCCTCCCGGAACCGACCTCGATCCCGTGTCTCGGTCCGACCGGCAGAACATCCAGGGGGGTCGGCCCCAGGGTGCGCACGAACACCCCACGAGCACGAGCATAACATCAGGGCACCCTCCCCGAACCGGCCTCGACCCCGCGTCTCGGTCCGACCGGCTCAGCAGGGCGTGCGGGCCAACGTTTAGGATGCTCCAGCCTACAGGGCAGTTTTTAATACATAGGATTGTTTAATATAGGATTTTAATACACGATCTATTTAGGGATAAACTTATGCATGAACTCATCGTTGTTTTTAGTACCAAACCCCTGCATTTTTAATACATGATCCGCACGCGGAGCATGTAGTAAAAACGGCACCGTATTCTAGCCTTGACCACCAGAGAGAATCTCGAGCGCCAGGGAAGCACCGAAATTGGAGGGCGCTCTCGTGTCGGGCCCCAGGGGCGCCACTCGCCGGACACCCTCTCGATGCTCTCCTGGGGGCTCGAGGCGGTTTCTGGGATGTGCTCCTCAAGCACGATGGGAAAATATCGGCTGCACGTAAGAGTGACCCTGGGCAAGAGTGACCTCTGGTGCGCGGCTTTTGTTGGGGGCGCGAGGAGGCCAACACACAAGCGCGCAGGACGCTACTATCGTAACGATCGCGGCGATCGGGGGACCCCAATGAGCACGCACCAAAGGTCACTCCGGCGAAGGGTCACTCTTACGGAGTCTGTTTTTTTTAGACTCTGGCAAGTTTACTTGCATGGACGGGGGGGGGGGGCTGAGCCTGAAGCAAGCCCGGGGGGGGGGGCGCGGAAATCACGCAAGTCGAAAGGCACTTGCACGCTAGTATTCGCTTGAAGAGGGGCGAGGGGGGGGGGGGGGGGGGGGGGCGAACGCCATGCAAATAAGCTTGCCTGAATCCAAAAAAAAACAGGCTCTCTTATGTGTAGTCGAAGATAGCACAGGCCGGCCTGCTCATCCAGGCCCGGGCTTTGGAGGTCCTCGGGACCCCTCGCGCACTCCCAGCGGCCCTCCCCTGCTGCCCTCACCTCGGGCCTGTCCTCTTACAGGGGGGGGGTCGGAAGATTTTCTTTTAATAGAAATATTTTTTATATAAAAAACAAAGTAACAACAAACCACAACATAGGCCATCGGGGATCTTCTGACCCGGGTCAGTCCAGACCCGGGCCAGCCAGGCCTTGCAGAATCCTGCACGATCCTGCAAGACCCTGCACCCAAACACGGGTCAATGCGAAGGATCCTGCAGGATCCTGCACCCAAGCCCGGGTCAACGGGAGCCTGGCTCTGCAGGGTCCTGCAAGATCTGGCGCTCTGGCTGACCCCCGTTTGCCTTGACCCCCGTCTCAAGGCTCCCGAGGCCAGCGTTCTCATCCAGGCCCGGGGCCTGGAGGTGTTCGGGATCCCTTCGCGCTCGCTCCCCGGCGGCCCTCCAGCTCCTGGGGACGCCCTCCCGGAAAGCCGCGCCTCGCCGAGGCTCGGGGGCCGCTCCGGTGCCCCTCTCCTGCTGCCCGCATCGTCGGGCCTGTCCTCCTACCATGGGGATCTTGGACGCCACATTAAAAAGTAGTCAAACAGTACACCAACATGGCCCAACAAAATACTAAAAAAATCGTCCCCCGACGACTGGGGACCATTTTGAACATTCCTCCTGTAGAGGGACAGGCACGACTTCATGCTGTCCTCGATCCCACCTCGTCCATGGCAACCCCGTTGCCGTCCGCCCTGCAGGATGGACCCCGGGAGGGGTCTGGGGGGCGACTCTGATCGGATTCTGGCGGGAGGGGCACCGCCGTCGGTCGCCGCCAGTTGTCATTCGAGGTTCGAGAACCCGAGGATGGAGTCTGAGGGATCGATGCTCATGGGTACCACTCTGGAAGCCACAGGACAGCTGGCGACCTCGAGCGACCGGCGTCGTCGACGTCGCGGTGGTGGTCGTGACCGTCGTGCTTGCAACCTTCGTCGCCGTCAGCTTGGTCGTCCTTTACGTGGTCGTCGTCGCCGTCGTAGAGTCGTCTTCGCCGTCGTCGTGGCGGTCGTCGGCGGCTGAGGCGAAGGGGGCGGGGATCGCGGGTGAAGAGAGGGGGGGGGGGGGAAAGGGGGAAAAGGAGGAGGGCCAAGGAATGGATGAGCAGGGGGAGAGAAGGGGAGATGGAGAGAGAGAGAGAGAAGGAACAACAGCAACGGAACAGATACAAGGGGAGGAGGGAGCAGGGGAGGGGCGAAGGCTTCCCCGAAGTGCGGGGTGACGGCGCTGTCCTTCAAGGCTCTCTGCAGATCCTCCATGGACTGCTCGTGAAAGTCCATCTTCTTCTGCAGGCGATCCATGGTGGCATGCTGCTCTGCGAAGAATACCTTGTACCTCGATCCGGTGGACAGGTGAAACACTGAACCTCCCCGCGTCCTTCTCATTTCCTTCCCTCTCCTCATCTGGGGCACCAACCAAGAACGCTTTACGACGGCTCCCCCAAACAACATCACGCACCAACGTCGAAAAAAACGTCAGACCAATAACGGCACGGCACGGCACGCAGAACAACGCATTGCACGACATGGCACAACACGCACGACTTCCGAAACAAAACACGGAACGCTGAAACTGCGCAAAGCGTCCCAACAGGCGGCAGTCTTCGTCAGAAGAAGCAATCCCAATCGTCGCCTCCTGGTGCTGATCACCATGTCGCCACAGCCTTCGCCGCTGCTCTGCGACTGCTGCTGCGCCCCCTCCTCTGCTCCCACGCCTCCGCCACACGGTCCCCTAAATTACCTCCTGACTTACTCTACTCCTCCCCCCCCCGAGCTCTCCTCCCAGTTGGCCCGAAGGTCTCAGGGGCTCTCTGGTGACCTCCGCGGGTGCCTCCAGAGTTCCACGGGGGCCTCAGAAGAGGTCGCGGGAGGCCCTGGAGAGTTCTTATAGAAACGAAAGGTGTCGATCCACGTGGACCTCGATCCTCCCCGCGCCTGCCTCCTCCCCGATGACACACGGGATCACCTGGTGGATCGATCGGGTCGAGACCGAGAACGCCCCCCGATCTATCCGGGCGGGTGAAGCAACAGTGTGCAATTCTCAATGCCTCATTGTGGGTACCCGTCTCGGTGGAGCTCCTTCTGCGGCCACGAAACGTGTGAAGGGGTGCCGTAATGGTTCGGGAGCGCTTACGAACTGTGCCACTGGGACCTCAGGTGGAGATCCCTGTGGGGCACGAAGCATGTGGAAGGTGTGCCGAAATGTGCGGCGGGAGGCGCATGCGAACGGCACCATTGGGGCCGTCGGTGGAGCGGTGTGCCAACATGTGCGGCACATACGCATGCAAGCTGCGCCATTGCGACCTTCGGTGGAGCTCCCTATGGGGCCATGAAGCGTATGAGGGGTGTGCCAAAATGGGTGGCGGGAACGCATGCGAACGGCACCATTGGGGCCGTAGGGGGAGCTCCCTGTAGGGGCCACGAAGCGTGTGAGGAATAGGCCGAAATGAGAGGCGGGGGCGCATGCGAACGGCACCATTGGTGCCTGTCGGTGGGACTTTTCATGGGGCCACGAAACATGTGAGCGGTGTACCGAAATGGGTGGCGGTGACGCATGCGAGCGGCACTATTGGGGACGTGTGTCAAGCTCTGCTTCTCTCTCTCTCTCTCTCTCTCCCTCTCTCTCTCTCTATATATATATGTATGCGGCCACGAAACGTGTGAGGAGTGTGATGGGCGGGTAACCACACGCGAACGCAACCACTGGGGCCTTCGGTGGAGCTCCCCATGGGGCCACGAAGCGTATAAGGGGTGCGCCGACATGGGAGGCTGGGACGCATGCGAACGGCACCACTTGGTTCGTCGGTGGAGTTCCCGCTCGGGGCCACCAAGCGTGTGAGGGGTAGGCTGAAATGTGCGGTAAACCGATTGCGAACACAGCCACTGGGGTCTTCGGTGGAGCTCACTATGGCGCCACAAAGCGTGTGAGGGTGCGCCAAAAAGTGCAGGGAACCGCATGCGAACGCAGCCCTTGGGCCTACGGTGGAGCTCCCTCTGGGGCCACGAAGCGTGTGAGGGGTGAGCCGAAACAGTGGCATGCGGAGTGTAAAGGCAAGGATGGGATGGGAGGAGGGAGGGATGAGGAGGCACTTGGCGCGGGGCGCTTTCTCTTCAAAACGAGGGTCCAACACTACCGGATGGTTGGGAAACAATGAACATGTAAAAAAGCCTCCGTCTCATTACTTCAAGACGTTGGAGGCATGAGCTCGGGCGTGAAGCCATCGAGCTGGACTTGTCCTGGCGCATGACGTGGCCGAGATGTGAAGAAAAATACAGACGTGGCCACCAGAAGCCCTCCGAGGCCCAAGTAAGCCAACGATGGGCGAAACGCTCGATCCTCGAAGAAGCCCCCGTCTTGATCCGCTCAAGACGTAGGATATCGGGGTGCTCCCCGCTCGGCCCCGCTCCCTCGGCCAGGGGGCGGCGGGGTCGCTGGTCCATCTCCTTCACCTGCGCGGACACCTCTTTGAGGCGTCCCTCCCAGTCTGCACGCTCCACCCGGTCCTTCAGCCTCTGATAGCTCTCCTGGCGGGGTCGCTGCTTGAGGTTAGTTGGCTCAGTGGTCGGCGCTCGAGGCCTCAATGCACATCGAGGCCTCTGGGGACCTTCGGAGAGCTCCGAAGACTCCCAGAGGTCTCCTGACGGGATCGTCGCCGCCGTCGGCGTCGTGGTCGTGGAAGTCGTCGTCAAATCCCCATCCTCCTCCTTCCCCGGAGGGGGATGAGGCGAATGAGGAGTAGGAGCAGGGAGAGGAGGAGGAGACGAAGTAGTAAGAGGATGACCAGGAGGAGGCCCTCCTCCTCCAGCCGTTCGTTCCTCCTGCCTGCTCGCCTCCCTCTTCCCATATCCTGACTCCCCTGCGCCTGCGTCCCACCACCTCTCGAATCACCCACGGCTCGGCGACATCACCCATGCCAGCGCCCCACAACCTCTCCTCCATCCTTATCCTCCGCCTCCCTCCTCCTCATCATCCCTCATCCCTCATCCCTCCTCCTGCCTCATATCTTCTCCTGCCTCCCTACTCCTACTACGCCAGAAAATTCCTGTCCGAGAACTGCCTTCGCAACCCCCTCCCCTAGAAAACCCTTGGCAAACCAACAGAAGTAAGGAACAACGCGTCAGCAGCGAGCCAGCACGCCAACTTCCCTTCCTGACATCAATGCAATCAACGAAATTATCATCGAAATCGTCGGACCGTAACACTGCGAAAATCCCAAACATGTGAAACGGCATGCTCGGCATGAGCTTCCTGCCGGCAACTCTCAGGATCATGGGGGGGTCGCAATTTCTAGGGGGTCCTGGGACACGTAAACATACATGAGACTCGCACCCCCGCAGCCATAATCCCTACTAGATTACCCCAGATCCGCGCCCCCGAAGCCATAATCCCTCGTAGGTGACTCAATGCGCGCGTCTCCGAGTCAATACTCTCGTAGACTAAACAAAATCTGCGTTCCAGAAGCCACGATCCCTCGTAAATGATCTATGATTCGCGTCCCCGTAATCATAAACCCTAGTAACCTGCGCGCGATTCGCGCGTTTGAGGCCACAATGATTCATGAAAGGCCCCCAAGACGGTACAAGAGGCCTCCGCGACGACCCAACAGTGCTCCAAGACGCCCAAGATGGTCCCAAGATGGCCCAAGAGTCTCCCAAGAGGCCACCACCCCAAGAGCGCTTCAAGAGCACCCCCAAGAGAGGCCCAAGAGGCAAACATCTGCTATGTTCCTTAGGTGTTTGATGGATGTTGGCACGCTCAGATCTCCAGTGGTCCCCGTTCAGAGTTCAGACGCTGCTTCACGACGGCGCCCAGGCCTCACAACATGTAGCTCTTGCATGCCCATTCTCCGAGAGAGGGTGCCGGCGGCAAGGGGCGAAGCCCTTATAAATCATGCAGATCAGCGCAGTGACATGCGAGTGCGAGGCAACGCCATGCGACTGCAACGCAGTACGACTGCAGAGGAACGCAAGCCCTGGCAGCGCGATGCGACGGAAAGCGCAGCGCGGTTGCAGGTGCAACGGGGGCGTCGCTGCAGCGGGGCCACGCCGACGGCCTTGATCGGTACCGCGGTGGGGCCGCCACCGGCCTTTCACTGAGAAGGAAAGGTCGGCGACGGACTGGACCGGGGCCACCGAGGCCGCCAACGGGCCCAACTCCTCGGGCACGAACCCCCAAGTGCAAGCACTTTTCGGGGGGGGAGGGGGCAGAAAAGAAACTAGTAGCTGCCCAGACCTGGAATCAGTCGGGGGCCGTTGTCTCCCATGGTCTCCCCTTCTCCATCTGCATGCCAATGCGTGTCCCTATCCGCACCCCTATTATTCTGCTTCTATTCATATCCCTGTCCCTGTCACGATCCTATGTCCCTATCCCTATCCCCATCCCTATCCCGACCCCAATCCCGATATCACTATACCATATGCCTCGACCTATCTCCTGGTGGGCCTTCCTCTCAGGAGTGCAATTCGACAGCATGTTCGAGGGAAAGCCAGCTGCGGCGCAGGGAAAGATCCCACACGATGATGGCAAACGACAGTTCAAACGATACTCGAAAACATAATACATCCTGAAATCATCCCCCTTCCTCCCTCCTCCCACGAAGGACTCGGGGGGCCCCCGGCGTCTCGAAATGCCTCTGGAAAGCTCGGGGGCAATTGGAGGCACACGCATCTAATTTCCGAAAACCTGAACCATCGAATCCTCGACCCCGGCACCAAGCCGATGGGAAGTCTCCTCAAGTCCCGTGGAGTTCTCTTGTACTTGACTACATCGAATACTCTGTAAGGGGCTCCGACCCCCAATTCCCAAATCTCCTGGGGCTCCGAGAGTCCATATTTACAACATGGCATGAGATGGGCTTAGGGCCTGTCCTGGAGCCCTCTTGGAGGCGTCTGGGGCTGTTTTGAAGGCTCTGGGGAATATCCTGATGATGATTGTTTGAGCTTGGCATACTCGGCATCTCTGCGGCAATTGCGCCGAAAGCAGCCGAAGACGCCCCCAAGATCGCCCCAAGTTGGCCCCCGAGGCCGCCAAAAGAGCCCAAGAAACCACCAAGGCGGCCCTCAGAGGGGGAGCTCGAACTGATATACTTCAAGCCCTCTCCCCACGACGGTCCCCCGTGCCGAGTGGGCTCCAGAGGCACCCCCAAGGAAAAGAACCGCCCCCCCGAAGCGCCAAGATGCCTCCGGGATGCAGCCGAGAGGCCTCGAAGAAGCCAGCGAGGCCTCCCACGAGACACCCACCATTCAGGCGCGGTGGTGCCATCGTTATATACCCGTTCGACGACGACGCAGGAACGTTGGTGAGGGGGGTGATGAGCCCTCGGGCGTGGGCCTGGCGTCGAGACTGGGCAACAGCGAATGCAGGGACGGAGGCATGGGAGGGGAAGAACGGCGGGGGAGCGAGGTCCGCGCTGGGCTGCATCGAAGCAAACCTGGATGGCAACGGGACGAAGGGCCCTCCTCCCTCCAGTCCCCAGCGACGCCCAGACGTCCCCAGCGGCCTTCGACGAAGAAGCCATCAAGTCACAAAACGTCCAACCCGTATACTCGCCATCGCTCGGACGTCCATTCCCTATGTTTTTGTTCGGTTTCGTGCGTGGTTGTTTCGCCAAATGATCGAGGATACTCCTCGATGGGCCTCGCCGAAGGAACAATGTACACGTTCGAGCGATGTCAAGTACATCCTCGACCCTCTAGACTCGATCCTCGACCGAGGCGGGCGCTCCTCCCTCGAGTCCATCTGCGTGCGGAGGATCTTGCACCGCTCCTCCTGCGTCTCGAGGCGCGAGGCGACATCCATGAACTCCTGGCTTGGCCGCCGCCGCGGAACGTGGAGAGCAAGGGGCACACAAACCTACCTCGCTTTTGACCACCCTCGCTTCCAAGAGATACCAAGCGATGCCGCACTACGGCCTGCACTGGTCAGGCCGCTCGACGAGGAGGCGCGTGGTATGACTCGGTGTCGCCTGGAAACGAAGCGGGGTAGGTAAGTCACGCTCTGATAGAGGCGGGGGGTAGGGATGATCGGGGGTGGAGGGTCCAGGAGGAGTCTGAACATCTTGCGAAAAGGCCCCTGACCTCCACGGCGCATCAGAACACCGTCCTCGATCTGCGAGGTTAGGGGGGGGGCGGGGAAAAGAGCGGCAAAATCTGGACTCCGCGGTCGCGAGAATTCCCCAGAGATGCCCGAAACGGGAGAAAACTTTGCCCTCGATCCTCCCGGATGGGCTCAGACGCGCACGTGATACATCGGCGAAATTCTAACCACCCGTCCGCCCGCTGCTCACAGGGCTTCGGACAACAAGCGCCCCACCGACAGTGACACTGCTGAACAGACGATCGGGATAGGGCGGAGGCGGAGGCGGAGGCGGAGACGGAGGAGGCGCACCCCTTTGTCGGGGGGTGGGGGGCGCCGCTCGACGGGGCGGGGACGCCGCTTCCTCCTGGATCTTGTCCATGCGCTTGTTGAAACTCTCGGTGACCCTGCTCTCCATGGCCTCGCGCGGCCGCCCGCCGGAGCCGCTGCGCGAGCAGCGGGAGGAGCAGCAGGAGGATCGAAGGGGACATCCAGGAGGACCGAGGGGGATCGACGATCGAAGATCGGGGACCGACGGGGAGATCCCGGAGGCGCAGGGGCCTCGGAGCGTCAAGGCGGATCGAGGCGCAGCGAGGAGCACCGAGGAGGGCACCGCGAGGTGGGGGCATGGCAGGGCGCGATAGGGGCGGTCCGGGCGGGCTGTGCCTGCGGAGGCGGGGGAAGAGGAGGAGGAGGAGGAGGAGGAGGAGGAGGAGGTGGAGGAGGAGGAGGAGGAGGAGGAGGAGGAGGAGAAGAAGAAACATGGGTAGAAGGGGCAGCAGGGCCGGAGAGTTGAGGATCGAGGGTCGAAAATCGAGGGGAGGGCGGATCGAGGAACGAGAGTCGAGGCCCGATGGCGCAGCGGGGAGGGGGAAGGAGAGCGGGAGGAAGAACGATACGCGCGAGTGGTCCCGATGCGTCTCTGCTTGCCTGCTGCACGCTGATGCGCGTGCTCTGAAGCCGAGCGGGCGAGGCAAGAAGGAATGGGAGGAGGAGAACACACACACACACACACACACACACACACGCACGCACGCACGCACGCGCGCGCGCGCACGCGCGCACGCGCGCACACGCACACGCGCACACGCACACGCACACGCACACGCACACGCACACGCACACGCACACGCACACGCACACGCACACGCACACGCACACACACACACACACACACACACACATACACACACACGGGTGCGGGAGGGAAGGAGGAGCAGCGGAGGAGGGCTCGACGTGGACACGTCGTCCGCTGGGCCAGCCCAAGCCAGCGGGGGGTGGTGGACCCGCTGCCACTCCTGGCCATCGCTCGGACGTCCGTTCCCTGTGTTTTGTTCGGTTTCGTGCGTGGCTTTTTCGCCAAATGATCAAGGATGCTCCTCGATGGTCCTCGCCGAAGGGAAAAACGCACATGTCCGAGCGATGCCAAGACTCCGACGGGGAGTGGGGGGGGGGGCTGGAGAGCAGCAGCCCCCGACCGCCGAGGCGCAGCCCCGCCCCCCCACCGGAGGAGGCGCCTCGAACATGGCCATGTCGACGCCCTGCTGGAGCGACGCCTGGGGTGTCTGGTCTCTTGGCGCGCAGGTCTCGCGCTCGCTCGAGGAGGAGGGGGATGGGCAGTCAAGAGGCCCTCCGACGTTCTCCCCTGTCGTTTCCCCTTTCACCGCTTACACTGAAGGGGGTCGTCGCGCAGGCTTCAGAGATGCAGTTAAACATTTCAGCCGCCGTCCGAAGGCGGCTGGGCTCTGGGTATCGCGGGCCCGAGATTGCAATGGCTTCGCGGAAATCCCGCCAGCACTCCGGGCGCGAGTGGTTTAGATTGCTTCCTCTTCCAATACCATCTTCCCCTTCGGAGAGGGGTTCATCACTGCTACAAATTAGTACACGCCTCTTTCTCCCCCGCCTGACCGAACGCCAGCCAGGAACAATGAGCCCACTTCTATCCCTGGCACAAACCAATAAAACGTGCACATGGCGGCAAACTCAGGTTCGTGAGAGGGACACTCAGTCTCAGGAACACTTTGCACGTGTCAAGCTGAAGAACGAGGTCTTGTGTTAAGTGCCCTAGCTCCCCAAGCAATCAGGGGATCTTACTCCTCTTCCAAGGAAGTGGGCCCGTGCGCGCGCGGCCACAGCGGCCCCATTCCCGTCCGTCGCCACACCACTGCTTCCTACTAAGAAAGCCCAAGCGCGGAAAGGCGACATCGTTGACGTCCGTCGCCGCCGCTCCGCTGCACCACCTCAACGCATTGCAATCGCATTGCATTGCAATTATATTGCATTGGATTGCAATCGCATCGCATCGAACCGCATTGCGTTGCATTGCTTTGCATGTCATCGTAAACGCATTGCAACCGCATTACATTGCAAACGCATTGCGTAATCACATTGTGTCGCATTGCTTTGCATGGCCATTGCGTTGTATTGCATTGCATCGCATGGCATTGCTCTGCGCCACATGGATTATACCACCTAGATTGCACCACATTGATTGCACCACCGAACTTGCACCGCATATATTGCAAGAGACCACGGTTTGGGGTCCACGCTGGCAACCATCTAATGGAAATGGCTGTCTCGCAATTTCGCATCCAGCGGGCTTCTGAGGCATCACGGTGGCTGCGAGATGGCCAAAGAGTGATCAAAAGGGGCCGATTGGTGCTCCAAGACGGACCCGATGGCGCCCAAGAGTGCCCCAAGAAAGAGAAGGAGCAGCAGGAGGAGCAGGAGGTGCCAACTCCCACTCAAGACAGAAATAGACCGCACCCCATTCCTCCAATCATCCTCGCCTCTCTCCCCTAATCCATCCTCCTCCCGCCTTCACCTGTGCACCCCCAACCCCTCAGTCGCAGTACCCTCCATTACTTCATCCTCTCTCCCCTCCCCCATCCTGAAAGTGCACCCCCCCTCTTCCTGCCTATCCCTTCCCTCTCCCGCTGATCCTCTTCCTCCTCCTTTCTCTCACCACCTCCTCGTCCTCCCCCCCTTTCATCAACATCCCCATCCATTAATCATCTTCGCTCCTTCATCGCCACCTCCTCCTCGAACAAAATCTGTCCTCATCGGTTGTTCATCCTTCTCATCCCGCCGCTGTTGTCGGCGTCCTGGTCACTTTCCCCAGACATCACTTTGTTTGTTCGAGATGAGAGAGCTTCAGATTTTTGGGTCCCTTCCTCCAAACCGGCTCTACATCCCAGAGTAGTTATGTTGACGGCCCTGAGACCAAAACCTGACGTCTCGAGATTCTTCGAGCCACGAAATGTTCGAGCAGGGATCGACTAGAGAATATATGTTGCGGGCCCCAAGAATATACACCACCACCACGTCGCTTCCTCCTCCCTCCTCCACCCTCATCTTCCTCCCCTCTTTCCTGGGCGAGGAGGGCGATGAGGGAGATGGCGGTGGTGTATACCTTTGGGCCCCGCATATGCCCTACGATTGGTTATCCTCCGAAGCTACCAGAAACATGTAGACCGCTCCGTGGATCGACGTGCTTGCTCCTAGACTTGCCGGGCACATCCATTTGGGGGCACGTCAACTCTGTAGCCAATGCTCCCTTCGAGATGTGCTTCTCGCAATCGCTCGGACATCCATTCCCCTGTGTTTTTGTTCGGTCTCGCGCGTGGTGTTGTTCGCCAAATGATCAAGGATGCTCCTCGATGGTCCTCGCCGAAGGAAACATGCACACGTCCGAGCGATGCCAGGCAATTCTGTAGCCGATGCTCTCTCCGAGATGTGTTCGGCCGACAGTGTTCCCGCTGCGCCCCGCAAGGGCGACCGGCGCCTGACAGCCCGCGACAGAACAAAGACAGTCGAGGCGACCATAGCGACGTCAGCGCCGGAGATGTCGTCGATGTTGCTAAGAAATAGAAGTGCCCCAAACCCTTTGAGAGGGCCCACACACTAGGGATATCGGATATGGGGTCTTTCCTGCAGATGTATCATCGAACCCAAGCACCCAAATTCATGACCCGTGAAGAAAAGACGGGAACCCAAGTTAGGCTACGTCTGCAGTGTGTTACTCGGACTGGGGGTGTTGCTGTTCTCGCCGAGATGTCGCCGTCTGAGTCACCGACGGCGTCGTCGCCGACGTCATCGACCTCGCCGTCGTCGGCGTGGGCTGCGTTGGCGCTGGCGTCGCCGTCGTCGATTGTTCGGAGCAGGGCGGGTTGGCACATCGCATCTCAGGATCGGGCCCCAGACCTCTCCAAAGAACCTACTGTCAAAAACCCTAAGAAGGACGCGCGGGAAGGACGCAAGACCCTTGGAAGCCGAAGTTGGGACTGTTGGGGCGGCGGACGACGAAAACCTCGAGGACGCAAGAGCAGGGAAGAGCAAGGACGCCAGGGTGCCCCGAGCAAAGTCGCGCGTCCTTATTAGGGTTTTCGACTGTCGTGCACCAGTTCTCCGAGCTGCGTCCAGCCGTGGCGACGCGGGGGACCCCCCAGGACCACAGCTCCTCTGAGCTGCCGCCGCTGTCGTCGACAACGACTTCGCCTCCGTCGTCGGCGATCGACCGGAGGGCCGGGGGAGGCCCACGCGAAGCGCGCAGGGCGCCTGCGCGTCCTGGGACGGCGAAGGGTACGCGCACAGCGCAAGGTCCTCCGCAGCGTGGGCGGGGCCACAGCCGCCGCCGCGGCTGCTGTGGACAGCGTGGCCGTCGTCACCGCTGTCAGTAGGGGAACAACAAGTGACATAAACATAACAACTCGGAGGTCCGCGCGGATTTCTCGGATCGGCGCTGGGGCCCCCCGGCGGCGCCTCCGGCGCCGCCCCTGGCGCGCTCCGCGCGCCAGGAAGGGGGGTCCAGCGCCGATCCGATAAATCCGCGCGGACCTCCGAGTTTTTATTCCCCACATGTTTCGTGGGGTTCTGGTCTTCTTCCCTGCCGCGGCGCACCCGCGTCTCCTCCTCACACCTCCCCTCTTCTCTCTGGTGTTCTTCCCTGCCGCGTCGCACCCGCGTCTCACACCCGCACACACCTCCCTATCCCGCAAAGCGTGGCTGACGTGACATACATACATACATACATACATACATACATACATACATACATACATACATACATACATACATACATACATACATACATACACACACAGACATACATACATACATACATACATATACAGGCACACCGACACAGACACATACACACAGACACACAGCACAGCACAACTGCACAGCACAGCACAGCACAGCACAGCACAGCACAGCAGAGCACAGCAGAGCACAGCAGAGCACAGCACAGCTCAACGCAGCATAGCACAGCACAGCACAGAACAGCACATCACAGCACAGCACAGTACAGCACAGCACAGTACAGTACAGCACACCGCAACACAGCACAACACAGCACAGCACAGCACACCGCAGCACAGCAAGCCTAGCAGGCGTGGCACTTTCTCGACACCAGAGGGGGTGCACATCGGGTGCGGTCTCTATGCGCTGCAGGCGCGCAGGGCACGGCAAGCGCGGCACTTTCTCGACACCAGGAGGGTGCGCAGGGGGTGCGGTCTCTATGCGTTGCAGGCGCGCAGGGCGCGGCAGGCGTGCGAATTCTCGACACCAGAGGGGGATGCGCAGGGGGTGCGGTTCTATGCGCTGCAGGCGCGCAAGGCACGGCACGCGCTGCATTTTCTCTACACCCGGGGGGTGCGCAAGGGATGCGGTCTCTATGCGCTGCAAGCTCACAAGGCACGGCGGGCGCGGCACTTTCGCGACAACAAAAAGGTGCGCAGGGGGTGCGGTCGCTATGCGATGCAGGCGCGCAGGGTACGGGAAACGTGGGAATTCTCGACATCAGAGGGGGTGCGCATGGTGTGCGGTCCCTGTGCGTTGCAGGCGCGCAGGGCACGGCAGGCGCAGCATTTTCTCGACACGTGGAGGGTGCGCAGGGGGTGCGGTCTCTATGCGCTGCAGGCGCGCAAGGCACGGCAAGCGCGGCACTTTCGCGACAACGGAAAGGTGCGCAGGGGGTGCGGTCTCTATGCGCTGCAGGCGCGCAGGGCACGGCAGGCGTGGGAATTCTCAACACCAATGGGGGTGCACATGGGGTGCGGTCTCTACGCGCTGCAGGCGCGCAAGGCACGGCACGCGCTGCATTTTCTCTACACCCGGGGGGTGCGCAAGGGATGCGGTCTGTATGCGCTGCAAGCTCACAAGGCACGGCGGACGCGGCACTTTCGCGACAACAGAAAGGTGCGCAGGGGGTGCGGTCGCTATGCGATGCAGGCGCGCAGGGTACGGGAAACGTTGGAATTCTCGACACCAGAGGGGGTGCACATGGGGTGCGGTCTCTATGCGTTGCAGTCTCGCAGGGCACGGCACGCGCTGCATTTTCTCTACACCCGGGGGGTGCGCAAGGGATGCGGTCTCTATGCGCTGCAAGCTCACAAGGCACGGCGGGCGCGGCACTTTCGCGACAACAGAAAAAGGTGCGTATGGGGTGCGGCCTCTAGGCGTTGCAGGCGCGCAGGGCACGGCAGGCGTGGACATTCTCGACACCCGCGGGGGTGTAACTGGGGTGCGGTCTCTATGCGCTGCAGGCGCGCAGGGCATGGCAGGCGCTGCATTTTCTCGACGCCTGGCGGGTGCGCAAAGGGTGCGGTCTCTATGCGTTGCAGGCGCGCAGGGCACGGCAGGCGCGGCACTTTCGCGACAACAAAAAGGTGCGCAGGGGGGGCGGTCTCTATGTGTTGCAGGCGCGCAAGGCACGGCAAACGTGGGAATTCTCGACACCAGAGGGGGTGCACATGGGGTGCGGTCTCTATGCGTTGCAGGCGCGCAGGGCACGGCAGGCGCGGCATCTTCTCGACGCCAGGAGGGTGCGGAGGGGATGCGGTCTCTATGCGCTGCAGGCGCGCAGGGCCCGCCAGCGACTCCAGAGTTGGTTTACTGGGGGTGCGCGCTTCAGGCGTGCAGGGCGCGGACGGCGTGGCAACGCCTCGATAACAGAGGGGGTGCGCAGGGTGGTGCGGTCCCTATCCGCTGCAGGCTCGCACGGCGCAGCGGCCGTGCCCTTTTCTCGACACCAGAGGGGGGTGCACCGGGGGGTCGGTTTTTATGCGTTGCAGGCGCGCAGGGCACGGCAGACGTAGCACTGTCCTCGACACCAAGGGGGGTGCATAGAGGCAGTGGCCTCTATGCGCTGCAGGCGCGCAGGGCACGGCGGGCGAAGCAATCTCTCGACGCTAGATGGTGTGCGCAAGCGTGCGGTCTCTATGCGCTGCAGGCGCGCAGGGCACGGCATGTGTGGCATTTCCTCGATTCCAGAATATCTATATCAGGCCCCCAAGGCGCGGCGGGCGTGGTGACCTCGGTGACGACCTCGAGTCTTTCTTCGATGGAGGAGGGAAAAAGGCGGGGAGGAGGGAGGAGGTTCAAGCAACGGTGTGTTGGATGACAAATAGTGAAACATTCGTGACGAGGGTTCATTCAGAACGGAGGATTCAGAACGGAGGCAAGCACGTAAAATTTACATTAAGTATGTGGGGTTCGTCGGTAGCGTAATGTTTATGTCACTTTTTGTTCCCCTAGTCATGGTCGTGGCCGTCGTCGTGGTCTTGGTCGCCGTCCCCTGAGATCTGGGCGTTGCATGTTTTGTCGCACCAAGTGTGTTCGCCCTGTTTCGGGCCCCGGGACCAGCTCGAAAAATAAAACAGGAGTATGGGGTCCATGGCTCCGGTCGAGATTCTTACGATGTTGTCGTGGCCTTGGGAGAGCAGAAAGCTGCCGATGAACGCTGCTTCCCAGCCCGGCTCTCTCCCAGGGTGTGTTCCCTGGCCCGGACTTCGACCAGCGGTGGCGAAAAAGGCTCTCCCGCACGAGCAACAACATCTGCATGGATGAATATTGCGAGTCGTTGTTGCTAGCGTGGTCTTGGTCGTGGTCGACGTCGTGGCCGCCGCCGTTCCCGTCATCATGGTCATCACCATTATCACCATCATCACCATCATCAGCAGCAGCGGCAGCAGCACCAACAGCAGCATTTGCATCATCAGCATCAACACCATACTCCGAACTACGCAACCATTTTCCTAACAGGTGAAGGCGCAAGCCGACTTTGGGGGCTCCCAACTCCCCAACCGAATCATGCATTCGTGGAAGAACAAGGCGGCGTCGAATTATCCGGTGCTGTGGTCCCAGAGGTGCCAAAATCTGGGTGTTGTGGTCGTCGCCGTGGGGCCCGAATAGCTGGACGAGGTCGGAGGATCGCGCCGCATCGCGGATGCATCGTCGATGCATCGATGACGCATCGGAAACGTCGGCGGCGCATCGGCGACGCCAGCGTGGAGAAAATCGGGCTTCACATCGGGCCGCATCGCCGATGCGTCAACGATGCGTCGCGATCCTCCAACCCCATCTGTTCCAGGCCCAGCTGGGGGGCCTAGAATCACGAGAAGCGAACATATCCGTATGCGCGCCGTCGCTGTCCGCATTCTGTGGCGCGATCCCGCGGATACGCGGTCGCGCGCAATCGTCCCGCTCGGGGGGCGACTCGTAGAAAAACGAAACTGTATTCGCTGGGTCGCGGCCCAGGGGCCCAGCCAGAGATGCCGCGGATACGGGTCTGCTTTTCGCCCACGATAAATATACACGGTTGGTGCGTCCAGATCGCCAACCCGTGGGTCCATCGTCGAGTGTCCCCCCCACCCCCCATTTTTCCGAACGGCCTGCTCCTTCGTGGGGGGGCCGCGCAGATGTTTCGGATCCGCGCCAGGGGCGGCGCCGGAAGCGCCGCCAAGGGGGGCCAGCGCAGATGCGAGACATGCGCGCGGAACGTCGAGGGCTCATGTTTCTGCATCGCGCTCTGCTTCGAGGACTGCGGGGCGACAGATTCCCTGCGAACCGCGCCGCAGCCAGCGCCGCCCACCCCCTGGGACCCCACCCGGGAGGCCCAGGAGTCGTGGCCGCGGCCCTGACCTTCGTGGGCATGGCCCTCGTGGCCGCCTCCTGCGGGGCGCCCCGCGCCGCAGGCGCGGGGGGGCCAGCCCCGCGGGCCGGCTGCGGCGGCTCGGCCCCGCGGGGCCTCGGCCTGAGGGGCAACGATAGGAAAGGGGATCGTGGGAACGGCACCTTTCTTTTCACGATTTCGTTGACAGGGCTACGTACTGAAGGAAGCAAGCCCTTTGATAAAAAACTGCTGCTCTGTTGCGCGACAGCCGCGGCGGCGCGTCCGAATTGCGGAGCCACGTCCTGCGCTCGCGCATTGAATCTCCTGCCAAGGAACACCTACAACTCGTTGAAAGAAAGTCCAAGGGTCGCCGCGACCCGACGCAACGCGACCCTTACTACTCGAGCAGATGCATCGCGGCGTGAACTAGCAGCAAAGACACGGGCCCCCGGCCCACCGACCGGGCCTTGGCCCCGCATCGCTACCACATCCCCAAGCGCTACTATGGCAGACCGCGGACTTTACCAAGAAGCGAGGAAGCGGCTTTACTAAAACAAGGAAGCGGCGTGACTAAAGCGAGGAAACGGCTTTAGTAAAGACGCGCCGCTCGATACAATCAGACAAAAACGACGTTTCACGAAAACGAAAAAAAAACAACTCGAGAAAAGCGGAGGGACGGCTGGGGCAAAACTGCGCGCATAAATTGATCTCCTCCCAGACAATCTGGCGCGGGACTCCAGGATCGAGGGCGGGGAGCAAGTTCGCCCGTAGGCCCGGGCCCCGTCGCCACCGTCGCCGCGATCTTCGTCGTCGCCGCCGTCGCCGTCGCCGCCGTCGTCATCACCGTCGGCAGAGGCGCCGCCGTCGTCGTCGCCGTCGCCGTCGTCGTCGCTGCGACGCCCGCGCGTTCACGTTATTACCAGCGGGGGGTGGCGCGCGACCGCGCGCGCCGCTGCGCTCGCATTTCCGTTCGTCTGGCGGGGGCCCAGGCGGACATCGTGCTTGATTTTCCCACCCGCAACTCGTTTAAATTAAGAATGGGGAAAAAACGGTTCTGAGGATCGGCATGGTGTGGGGAAACATCGATCTGGAATCGGCAATGCATCGCCGATATATCGGCGATCGGCCAACGATACTGAATCCGAACGTTCATGGCTAGATTGAGGCTGTCGGGCTCCTATCGGCAATCAATGGGCGATTTGGGGTCGACGCATCCCCCCTATGCCTATCCTCCCCTATAGTCGTCCTTGACGGCCCTTGTTCGGGGCGTCCAACTGGGATGCGGCAGCGTCCAGCCCGGATCCGGCAGGCTCGTGCCGTGCCGACTGCGGCGCTGGTCTTTGACACCGCGGGGGCCGCTCCACATGGAACGATCGGCAGTTTTCGGTTCGGGCGAAAGGGGGGGATAGCAGAGGGGGGGCTTGAGAATCAGCTCACGTAGCTGATTTTTCCGGCGCCTCCCGGCGCCGCAGGCGGTCATTTATCGAGGAATGGGCCTCTCGGTGAGGCCGAATCCAGCTGCATGCAGCAGATTTTGTCACCCCCCCCTTTCCCCATCCCCCCCTTCCGCCCGGCCCGACGTTTGCAGGACGTCAGCTCGTTCCAGGTCGACCGATTCTGGGTCGCCGGCGGCCGGCCGGCGCGGCGCGAACTTCGAGCCTGCTGCAGGCGATGGACATTCTGCCCCTGCCCCTGCCCACGCCCGGCCCCCACGAGGGGCCAGGGCGGGAGTGGACAGGCTTCGGGCCTCCGAGGGCGCGGCCGCTGGCCAGCCTTCTCTTTGACTGCCTACCAGACCACCCCCAACCCAACCCGAAGACCCGAATCTGAGCCGAATTTCGGGTTGGGGGGGGGGGTACGGGCTCCATCTGTTTTTCCGATGTTCCCCGACCCCCTCCCCCACTGGAAATGGAGGGCAAATGGAGGCCTTCGGCTTGGGTCGGGGTGGTTTGGTGGGTGGTGACTTTTGGGGGACTTCTTGGGAGGACTTCCCAGGTTCACATGGGCAACGAGCGTACTCCAGATTTCGTAATAAAGGGAGGGGGGTCTCATTTCGGGGGGGGGTCTCTTCCAGGCTATCTTGGAGGGCCTGGGGGGTCTGGGGACGATGTTTTGGAGGGTTCTCCCACGGGGGAGGTCTGAAATGGCTTGTCTTGGAGTGTCCAGACCCCCTCTCTTTTATTACGAAATCTGGAGTATCCACATCCGCACGCGCTCTCGCGAGCTGGACTCCAGTGCGCGATCCAACGGATGCGCGCGGTCGCACGGCGGCGCTCCGCGCGGGGCCTCCGCGGGCAAACAGGGGCCGTGATCCTTCCGGGGCGCGGCCCCTGGGGCGGGGCCGGGAGGCCGCCGACACGACGAACGTGCTGTTCGCCCACGATGGGCTCGCCATCGCTCGGACGTCCATTCCCTGTTTTTTTTTCGGTTTCGTGCGTGGCTTTTTCGCCAAATGATCAAGGATGCTCCTCGATGGTCCTCGCCGAGGAAAAAACGCACACGTCCGAGCGATGCCAAGTGGATTGGCCGATCGTGCGCAAAGCCCGCCCTGCCCGCCAGAATCCGGGGAGCCTCCGGGCGCGCGCGGCCCCTCCCCCCCCCGCGAGCCCAGGCAGCCGCAGCCTGGCCCCTGCTCCGTGCGTGCAGGCACGAGAGGCCCTCGGTCTAGGCTGCTTGGTCTGTCAGCTCGCGCGCGTGCCGTGCCGCACGCCGTGCCGCGAGGTCAAAACGCTGGAGGGCAGATGCGCAGCTGCAACCCATGGTAGTAAGGGCCGAAGCTGCACTATGCAGCGCTGCTGTTCACTCCAGGCCGAAGCAACGGCCCCAGCACGCTGACTGTCGCAGCACCTCGCCAACTGTGACGTCAACTGCTCGCGCCGTCTGACCCCTGGGGGGGCTCTTGAGAGCCTCCTGGGGCGGGGACATCCGACGATGTGCTCTGTTTCAATGCGCGGCGCAAGGAGCCCCGACCCTCCCCGGGGGTAGTTTTTGTCCAGATACCCTTTTGATAACTCCGGTGCCCGATGACAAGCCGTTGTAGATCGAAATCTAAGGAAAGCGTCTAGATTGGAAAAACGGGTCGTCGGACATCTGTCCCCCGAACCTTCTTTCGGGTGCGCTGTGGCCAGATATGAGAGGGGAATCTGGCCGTGGCCACGAGGAGCCTCGCGAGGACCCAAAACGATGGCAAGACGTCCCAAAACCGTCCGATCCTCGAAGGCTTGAAGCCTCGAAACCTCGAGGGGGGCGGCGCCCGCGCGCGCTCCTGCTGCTGCTGCTGCATGTCCACCAGCCTGCCGTAGAGGTGCTCCAGGGACTGGCGCGTGTCCTCCGGCCGAAGGGGCGGTCGCCAAGCTGGGCGAGGGCTGCAGCTCCGCGGCTGCGAAAACGGCCTTCCCGGAAGGAGAAAACACACACACACACACGCACGCACGCACGCACGCACGCACGCACGCACGCACGCACGCACGCACGCACGCACGCACGCACACACACACACACACACACACACACACACACACACACACACACACACACACACACACACACACACACACACACACACACACACACACACACACACACACACACACACACACACACACACACACACACACACTTATCCCCAGAACAAAAATCAACGCGCTGAATAGTGAACGGGCTGCTTCCCGGAAGGGAAGAACAGATTCCCAGAGCTGCGTTTTAGCAGCCACGGGTTTGCCAGCCTTCGCGTGGCTTCTGGGGAGGGCGGGGGGGGGCGCCAGCTGCCCTTGTGAGGGGAGGCGGGAGCCTCCGGCCCGTCCCCCCTGAGCTTCTTGCCTGCTCCTCGACCGCTGCTCCCCCTCCCTCCCTTCCTCCCTCCCGCCCCCGCCGCCACGCCCTCCTCCGCCCGTCCTCAACAATTACTCTATATGAATACTACTCTCCCTCTTCCCCTGATGACGGCTTGAAAGTGTTAGCCCCCCCCGCGCACTGTCTTTTTACACACAGGATTCCCCGGAGTTGGGTTTTCGCCTGCATTTTTTCCAAAATGCTGCTCGCGCCTTGGCGCCGGCCTCATTTCCGTGCTTCCGCTCGTTCCGAATCGTGCTCCTGCTGCAGCGCTGGCCTCATTTCCGCGCTTCCGCTCGTTCCGACTTGTGCTCCCGCTGCAGCGCTGGCGTCATTTCCCGTGCCATGCCACGGCATGCAATGCAATGCTAGGTTGATGCTACGCTTTGCGGTGCTCTTCTACGCCATGCCATGCCGTGCTCTACAACGCATCGCGTACCCTTTCGGGATCACTGCCCTGCTCGACATCCGACTGTGCGAGTAGAGAGGGGATCTACGCCATGGTAGGGGATGGGAGGGAGGGGTAATTACGATGTCAAATATGACGCGAGCGCACCTAACTTGCCCTCCCCCCCTCCCTCTACCCTCCTTCCTCCCTCCCTCCCTCCCTCCCTCCCTCCCTGCGTCCTCTTCCGTTCCGCCTCCCTCCCTCCCTCCCATGCCTGCTCCCTTCCTCCCTCCCTCCCTCCTCTTCCTCTTCCTCCGCGATCCAAGAAATCCGCGCGGAGCTCCGAAAATTGGAGTTTGCGCAGTCTGTGTCAACAGATAGGCCCTCGGGAAGACGAAACGCACAGTCCCTGGGAGAGGAGCTGACGGCCCCCAAGACCCCGAGCCGAGAGAACCACCACCACGGAGAACGGGGCCTCTCCCGTGAAGGGTCGCTTGCTGTGTCTGCTGTCTGTCAAGGGGCCGCTGCATGCTGCTGGGACTCACTGTGGCCGTCCCTCCCTCCCCCTCTCCTCCGCCCCTGCCCTCCTCTCTCTCTCTCCCTCGCGGCCTGCCCTCCTCCCCCATCATCCAAATCCGGTCCAGCCCCCGCCTCCTCCCGCCCTCCCTCCCTCCCTCCTCACGGTCAGCCCTCGTGCTCCTCCCTCCCTCCCTCCGCCTCCGCCTCTTCCTCCTGCTGGTAGGCCCCCCCCCCCGCCCCCACTCCCAGCGGGCCGGAGCAGAGCTTCCTCGTTGGAGGAGGTCAGGCTGTGCACAGAGTCCTCCAGAGTCTCTAGCCTCTGCAGCCGCCTGTTGTACCTGCGACGGCCGCGTGCAGCCTCGAGGATCGGCGTCGAGCGGGGGGGAGTGAGAGAGAGGAGGCCTTCTCGGAGGGAGGCGGGGCTGCTCAGAAGGCCGCTTGCCATCTGGAATGTTTTCTGGTTCTCTTGCCATCTGGAAGGCTTTCTGGGTCTTCGGGACGGCTTGGACAACTTCTCTCAGGCCAGGGGACTTCCACTGACGCTCTCCCGCCGCATGCCCGCCGCCATCCTGATTTTCCACATCGTGGCCCTCCTGATCTTGATCACCGTCCAATTCGCGCTCCCGCATGCAAAGAGGAGGGGGGGACGTGCGAGCTGAAAATGGTTGCCATCGCACAATCCTTCACAGGAGAGAAACGGTAAGATTGGAGGAGGAGGAGGAGGAAGAGGAGGAGGAAGAGGAGGAGGAGGACGACTGTGGATGAGGATCGAGGCGGGGGAGGAAGAGGAGGAGGTGGAGGTGGTGGAGGAGGACGAGGAGGGCGAGGAGGGAGAGGAGGAGGAGGAGGAAGCGGCTGCCCTCCACACAGATGACGCCGAGAGAGTAGGAAAGGGGGGAGTAGCAGCTCCTCCGTCGCACTCTCAAGTGCATCACGAGGGGGCTGGACTGTGATGGGGAGGTTGATCTCTCACGCTCTTGTTCGCAACGCAAGGGGGAAGCTGTGAAGGGATACTGGCTGCTCTACCACACTCTCAGACACGACAAAGAGGGGAGACATGGGAATGGGAAGGTGGTTTCTCTCTAACAGTCCCACACGCAGCGCGTGAATGGGATGCGACACGACGCGAAGTGCGTAGATCGGGGCCCTGGACAGGGCACTTCTTGAGCGTGTCCTCCGTCGCGGTCTTCTCCGTGCGGACCTGCCCTTCCTTCACATGACCCCATGCCCCGCCATCGTTCTCGTCCTCCTCGCCTTGCTCCTTCTCATCCCATCGCCCTACTCCACATTGGCACCATGGAAATCCACACCCTGCTCTTCCGTTTCCGCCCCATCATCGCGAACCTTGCTATGCTGGCCTCTACGTGGTACTATAATCGGATAGGAGATGCCCCCCGCTGTCACATTGCAAGGACGGAGTGCACACAAAAAAATGCTCTGCGGCCGTGACTGCTGCCCATGAGCAGCCGCAACCAATCCAATGCGCACGGAAGGAAGGCCGCACCCGGGCGTCGATCTGCATTGTGGTGCTCTCGAACTCCGAGAATTTCGCCCGGACCTCCTCCTCGAGCCTCCGCCAGTCGCGCGCGCGCGGGCGCGGGCAACGCTTGCTCGCCGCCCCAGCGCTGGTACCCCTCAAAGTTCCGGCAGGGATGCAAGGGCGGCCCGATGGCATAAGAGGGGGGAGTGGAGAGCGAGGGGAGGGTCTGCCAGGACGAATGGAACAGCGGAGGCGGGAAAGATCGCACCTCGGCTCCTCAGGTTGAGGTGGAGGCAGGTCGATCGACAATAAGAGGGCATGAAGCGGGGTGACGAGGAGAGCAATACTTGGCCTCACCAAGACGGCGCTGATCCAGCGCAGCAGCACGTCAAGCTTCTACTGTGAGGTCGCAGCGTGGACCTTGACTAAGCCTTGGGAAGGCCACCGTCGTTCCTCGTCATTCCTCATTCGGACCCTTGCTTACGACATGAACTAATCATTCGCCATTCGTCCTTCGTCATCGTAGTCGTCCTTCTCCCCACCCCATACAGCACCCTCAGGCCGTTTGAGAGCCCTTCGCAATACCGAATATCATACCATATTCTGAATGGTATGGATGCAACATCAATAAAATGCTGCTTCCGCGTGAAATGTAGAAAGGGCCGTGCGCTTGTCGCGAACGAAAGCACATGATAACGAAATTCTCTATGTTGATTCATTTATCCCTGCTCTGCTCTGCTTATGCTGTCTACTACGTCCACAACCGTGCCCCATGGCACGCTGAGGCGTAGTAGGCTGCCAAATGTTGCATGGTAAGAGTTCTGCAGCTACAATCAAGACGTGCATTCATGTCGTGTGGTAAGGACGCAAGGCCCTTGGAGGCCGAAGCTGGGATTATGTTTGGCGGCGGGCGACCAGTGAAAACGGCAAAGGACGATGCAGGCAAGGACACCAACGAGGGGCAACGATAGGGGGAGATAGGCATAGTGGGGGAAGCATCGTCCTGGAATCGGCGATACATCGCCGATAAGTCGGCGATGGGCCCCCGATAGTGAATCTGCACGTTCCTGGGCAGGTCGGGGCTATCGGGCCCCTATCGGCGATCCATCGGCGATTGGGCGTCGATGCGTCCCTCCCTGTGCCTATCCCCCCCCCCGTGGTTGCCCCCGAACCCAGGGGCACCCTGGACGAAGGCGCGCGTCCTCACTGGGCGCGTGGACTGTACGCCGTCCACGACATGAGAGGCGCACACGCCGCCACGCCTCCCGAGGTCCCCTGGGCGCCCCGACCCATCCCTGGAGCCCCCTTCCAGGCGTGGACAGAGGCACTGGCCATCGCTCGGACGTCCATTCCCTGTGTTTTTTTCGGTTTCGTGCGTGGGTGGCTTTTTCGCCAAATGATCAAGGATGCTCCTCGATGGGCCTCGCCGAGGAAAAAACGCACACGTCCGAGCGATGCCAAGGGCCCAGGCAGGCCAGCGAGGCCGCCGCGACTGCTCCACGCAGCCTCCAAACGCACCCGGCCCCAAGAGCTCCCGGGAAGAGCCCGAGCACATCCCAAGAGGCCTCCCACAGGCCGGGAGCCTCCAGAGGGGGAGGAATAGGAGGAGAACGAGGGGAGGAGGAAAAGGAGGAGGGGGACGAGGAGGAGGAGGAGGAGGAGGAGGAGGAGGGGGAGGAGGAGGAGGAATAGGAGGAGGATGAGGAGGAGGCAGACACGAAGACTCTCGATTTCGTAGCGTTTTTCGCTTGGCCCGCTCTTCGGTCGAAGCTCGGCCCTCCTGCCGTCCTCAACGAGCCCCAGGAGGGGTCCCTTACACTGCTGAGGGCGGCCCCGGGAGAGCCGTCGGGAACACGCCCATGAGGGCCTCGGGGGTCCTGGACGGCCACCCAACAGCAAATCGACACCCCACTCCGGCCCAAGGAAGGCCCACGACAGCACCAGGTCCTTGAGGGAGCCGCAGGGACTGCCCCACTGGTGCCGAAGACAGGCCCAGGACGGCCCAAATGAGCTCCATTGGACATCCTCTAGACGCTGGCATGCTTGAAGGGGCCCCAGGACACACAAATAAATACACACACACAAATAAACCGATTCCCCATATTTTCCCATATCTTCTGGATTTCTGTCTTCCCCCCCACTTCCCATATTTTCCCATATTTTCTGGGGGAATCGACGATGAATTGTGTCTGTGTGTTTTTTCCCCCCCTCCATGATAGATGTCGCATGTGATGGCCTTCCAAGGCGGTGATCGCCGTGTCGCCACGCAGAGAGTGAAGCGCTGGCACGGTGGCGGAGTTTTGCCGCGGGCAGCTGGACAGTATCTGCTCTCCACGTTGTGCCCTTCGCCTCCCCGTGTGATCTCTGCCCTCCCCGGGCTCCGCCCGCTCCGGCCGCCTGGGGCCCCGCCTTCCCGTGCCCTGTCTCCCCAATTAAAGCTGTGCTGTGCTGACTGACGCTGTCCGGGCGCCCGGACAGCGTCAGGCGGAATTGTGGTATTGTGAGCTTTTAGCGAAAGAGGTTCGCTCTCGCCCCGCCGACCAAAAAAAGTGATCCCTGCCCTGCCGGTTCGGCGCCCCACTTTCTGGCCTGGGGCACTCGAGTCTGCCCCCTCCAGTCTTGGCCCGCTCCCCGTGCTGTATGATGGATGACTTCTGCGCTCTGCCCAACTGTACCCACTCGGCAATCTCTCTGACCCTCTCTTTCTCTCTCTCTCTCTCTGTGTACTTTCGTGCCCTCGTGACCCTATCTGGCACCCCTGCCCCCACCGCCCCCCGGGGTATTTCACATTGGCACTCGTCCGTGACGAATGAAACGGAACAATCTGAGTTTCTTATTTGCCTGTGTAGCCGATGTCCATGTCAAAGGTGTCGTCACAGAGGAATGCAGGCGCTGTCGTCGTCTAGTTGGTTTCACCTGGCTACAGGGACACCAACCAATAGCCAGTACATGCCCTCGTTTGAAATGAGCCTGCGAGGTGCTGTCAGAGGCCATTGGCTCTCAGCTACCACGACCATTGGATAATCACCGAGCTCCCCATAACTGCCTCTTCATGGTGGCAGAGGCACACGTCTTACAAATAAACTGCTTTTCCAACCTGGTCAGATCCAGAACAATTGTGAGCATGACCAGCGATCTCCGTGCTCTTGTGATGTGCCACAACGAGAATATCATAGTCTGCAAGTGTGCACTTCTTTCCCGTCTGGCTCGATTCACTGGGCCCGCCTGGAGTACAGAGGTAACTTGGCCATTGGCCTAGATGGCACTAGCTCGCTTCACTTTGGCAGTTGCTGCACCGCACCTTGGGCACCTGATCGCGCTTCTCGCCTCGCAATGGACCAGAGACGTGATAAACCTGTTGCGGGGCCTCTCTGTCGTGGAGCCTAATAGATTGCGCATTGTTCCAATCTGCGCCTTGGAGACCTCTGGAATCTTTCGATTCGTCTCAGTCCAGATCATCGTGTCGCGGATGGTCTTTACCGTCGCCTCTCTTATCCGAGGGCTACCACCAGTATTCTCTCAAGCAACAGCACTGACCGCACCACGTATCAGGTCGCTGGCTTTGACGTGATTGCCGCTGTTCGCGTCGAGCTTGGGGACTTGCCGGGAGGGTTCCACATATGCATCTAAGCAGGCGCGTCCTTCAGGCTATATATTCTTTCGGTCGAGGCCAGTGCGGCCGCATGGACCACGAGGACCAGTCTGCATGTGAACCCTGTGGCTGGACGTGTGCCAAGCGCGGTATTTGTACGGATCTTCTTGTGCGTGTCGCGCTGCCCAGACTCACATGTACACAAGAGTCCAGATCGAGCTGCTGCTGTGAGACAACCTCCCCATGCGTTCAAGAGTTGCCTTCGCTGCGTACTCGAGGGGGGTAACTAGCGATAGTCCAGTGGCAATCGAGAAATTGATCGCGAGCTCCACCCAAGAAAAAACTAATGGAGTTGATGTCGTGTCATCTGCAGCTCACCGCATCGGCAGAAACTCCCTGGCACCCGGCACCTGGGAACCCGATACCCGGGGACCACCCACGACAGCTCAGACTGGAGGTTGCCCTGGGGTCTGAGCCGAGTAAGCTCGGAGAAAATGTGTCGCGAGGGGGGACGAGGGCAAACCAACTCAAAATCTGCCCACGGACCCCTCCGGGGGCCTAGACTGCTTAGGTGTGCGAGCCGCTTCCGGCCGCGGCGACGAGGGGGCCCCTTTCTCCACCTTCCCTGCTGCCTGGAAGCACCGCAGCAGTAGGCATGAGAGGAAGGACAAGAGGGAGGAGACATGGACAGCGGAAATGGGATGATGAGGAGGATGAGCAGGAAGAGAAGGATGACGACCAGGACGAGGAGGAGGAGGAGGAGGAGGTAGAGGCATGAAAGCAAGAAGGGAGGAAGAGGGAAAGGCAGGCGAGGAAGGCTGGGAAAGGGCAAGCCAAAAGAGGGGAAAGATGAGGATGAGCGGGGAGAGGATGAGGAAGGAGAGCGGGGGACTGGGAGGAGAACGGAAGGAGGGAAAGAGAGGGAGCCAGAAAAGGAGGACTAGCGGGAAATGAGGAGGGGAACGAAGGAGAAGGAGGGGAACTAGGAGAAGGAGTATGGAGAAAAAGAGAGGAACGACGAGAAGGATGCAGAGGAGGAGAAAGAGGAAGAGGAGGAACAGACGAAGGACATCAGGCGGCGAACGACAACGACGACGGCGACCGACGAGCGGTACCCTCGCGGAAGCGGCGGGCGGAATGGCTGGTGGCGGCTCTCCCACAGCCGCGAGTCCTCACCCGCGCCCGCCGCGGCCCTTCCACTTCTCCACCCTGTTGCCGCCATACCTCCATCCTCCCCCCCCGCTGTTCCTGATGCTCCTTCCCCTCGCCCCCCCCCCTCGCCCTCCTCGTTCCTCCTCCCGCTCCTCCCCCCGCTCCTCCCACAATGCTCCTCCTTCTCCAGCTCCTCCTCTCCTCCCTCCCTCTCTCTCTCTCTCTCTCCCTCTCCCTCTCCCTCTCTCTTCCGCCTCCCCGTTCTTCTCCCGCCGTCTCTTTATCCCCCTGCTTCTGTTGCGTCATTCTCCTACCATCTCCACTCCTCCCTCCTCACACTGTATTATCCCTCGTCTGCTCATGCTTCTCATTATTCTCCTTGTCCCCCTTCTCATCCTGAAAAAGTAGTTGGCACCGTGCTGCTGCCTTCGCGGACGCTGTTGCTCAGCAAGGTGCACTGCCTCAGGGCGTCGGCGTTGGAGCATGTCGAGCTTGATGCCACCATCGGCATTGCCCGAACCGTATGCAGATTGAACGCGAAACTGCTCCCTCAGTGGCCACGCTTGGAGCTCCAGAAAGCATCGCAACGAATGCCTCCTCCTCCACGGTTCCAGACAAATCGCGGTTGGCAATGGTAAGCGAATCATTGGGGGGTGTTCGGTTTGCCGTAGGGGTCCGTGTCCGTGCTGGAACCAGGGCCTGGTAGGTGGCTGGATCCAACCAGCCTGGCTCAGACGTGGCCGACGGCAGCGGCCACAAAACTGTCGTACTCGAGTGCAGGGATGGTGGCGCCAGTTCTCTTCTTCCTGCGTGGAGCATTCCTCCATCAAGGAGCATTCGCCAAGTGTGGTGTCGCTAGTCTGTTTGCCGAAGAGCTCAGTCGTCACGCAGGGACCAACTTTGATAAGGTGATGAGATGGGGCCGTCGTCGACGCCGTGATCTTAAGATCGATCCTCTGATCCTCCAGATGTTGCCCGCGCGTGCCTTTCACCATGAGATGGTCTGGAGAATAGATTGGCAAGTGGATAACGTTCCCTGTGAACGGTCCCTATGGCTGGCCATGCCCATCAGCCTGGGCGCATGCCTGGGTAGCTGTCCGTGGGTGGCTCAAACTTCCTCCCTCTCTTTTTTCCTCCTGCTTCTCGCACGTCGTCTCAGTCCTCCCAATCTAGAGGAACACCACGCTGCCTAAACGCAAAAAACTGACGGAGGTTCCCGCGCAGCTCCACCATCTTATGTCCACGACGTTGTTCTGATCGTCTTCCTCCTCCTGTTTCATCTTCCTTCTCCCCAACCATCAATGCGCCCTCCTGCCTTCTCTGGTCGAGCCCCCCCTCCCTCGGGGGTTGCTCAAAGGTGCCCCTGGCCCAAGGTGCCCCCAGCTGTTCGCTCAATTTGGAGCCCCTGGGGCCCTCTGGGCCACGCGAAGGGTGCCTTGGAGACCGTGGGGGCCTCCTCCAGATGAATCAAAATAGGCGTAACCATCCACTTTTGGCGCTCCGCGCGGATCACCTCGATCTGCGCTCGACCTCCCTCCCTGGCGCGCGGATCCAGCGCGGATTCAAGAACTCCGCGCGGAGCGCCAACAGTTTCATGTTTACGCAATTCTGGTCGAGGGAGGGTATCCAAGAGGGGGGTATCCAAGAGGGGGGGGCGCAAATCATGACTGGTGGCATGTGCGCGGCCCAGCGGGGGGGCCAGGGACGTAATGAAACAAGAAGAAGCGCCATGAAATCTGGGGAAATATCATGGCCCGCGCCATGATATCTACCCCCCCCCCTAGCCATCGCCCCCCTCTTTTCCGCCCCCGACCCCCCTGCCCCCCGCGGGGTCCATCTGGTCGATCCGCCGGATCTGGGCCTGCATCTCGTCCTGGCGGGGGCGTGGTGCGGCCCGGGAGGTGGCGCCCTCTAGCCCGCCCTCCCTCCCTCCGGCCACCCCCTTCCACGAGGACCGGGGAGCCAGAAGACTCGGGTTCGGGGGACGAGTGTTGGCCTGACGGGGCCCGTCATGAAAATGACGAGAACCAATCAGGAATTTGACGCGAACTCCCGCTGCAAACATCCCACGAAAACTGGACCGTCAAAATACATGGAACCCGCGTGACAAAGCGTTGGCGAACCCGAGTTGCGGCGCACTCGAGTCTTACGTTTCCCAGATAAGATCAAGGGTGGACGGTTGGGGCCGTGGTGGTTGTTGACCGCAGGGCAGGGCAGGGCGGGATACAATTTCTGCCCCAACTTGTTTTTCAGCTCAAGACTCCATCTTTCGGGGGCGCGCAAACATGGATTAGCGATCCATGGATTTGGCGCGCGGTCGCCAAATCCATGGATCGGGGGAGGAACCCTCCCCAAAATGCGGCTGGTGTAGCCTATATCCGCGATTTCCCATGGAAACGGGACCCGTCGTCAATCCACGTGGTCCACGCGCCCTTGATCCATGTTTGCGATCGCCTGAGTTTTTGCGCCCCCCCAAAAAACGGGGGGCCAAAAATGGGGGGGGGGGGGGGGGGGGCCAGACGGCGCTGCGGGGCAGGACGCCCGCGTTGACACGACCCGCGGGGACCAGCAGCCTCTTTCACGGCCTTCCAGGTCGCCCGAGCCCAACCCGAAGTCCCGAATTTCGGGGTGGGGGGCGCACGGGCATCACACTGTTTCTGCTCAGTGTTCCGGGACGCCGCCCCCCCTGGGAGCGGAGAGCCACTCGAGGCCCTGGGGTTCTGACAGGGTGGTCTGGTGGGTGGCGAGCTGCCCCCCACTCAGAGGCGACGACAAGGGCGAATGGCCCAGGGGAAAGCAATACATGTACTCAGGTGCGCCGATGATCTATGTCTTCGAAAAGGCTCACGTGTAATGCCCGCCCCTGGGCGATTCGCCCCTATCGTCGCCGCCGACCCACACGCTCACCCGCCCGCGGCTTTCCAGCCACAGCGTCGGAGTGGCCGGGAAAGGCATTGACCCCGCGGGCGGCGGTTCTCAGGGCAGATGCCTCCGGTCCACCCCTCGCTCTCGGCGGCCGTCGGCCAGTCGCCTCATCGCGCCGTCCAAGGCTAACCCTCCCGCAATCCCTGCCCCACGCGGTTCTCTTCCTGCACGTCGCCCTGCGAGGGATCTCAGTCGAGCGCGTGGGGCGCGTCGGGCTGACCAGGCAGCGTGGCCACCCGCGCCTTCGAGCTGAATCCGACCGACCCCCCTGCCTCCCCCCTCCCTCCTCCCTAGTGCTCCCATCCCTCCTCCCACTCACCCCCCACTTCTCCTCCGCCTCCATCCTTCTCCTTCTCCACCTTCCTTCTGCTCCTCCACCTTCTAACCTATGCTTATCGTGTCTCAGACATGGATGCGGCTCTGTTCTCTTCTCCCATGCCCGCACCCATGCATTGTGATTTTCGACGTGGACCCTTGGAAGCCTTGACCCTTTGCCTGGGACCAACTTTTCATCTGGGGTCGTTTTCAGATGGATCCTGGGCCCGGCACGTGAGGGTGCACACATGCCGAAAATAACAAAACCCTCCCGCGCGTTTTTTTGTCACAACCTGGGCCACATCCTCTCCTCCTCTGCTCGCTCCTTCTCCTACCTTCCTCCCTCCCTCTCCCTTCCTCCCTCTGCTGCCTCCCCCTCCCTCACCCTGCTTCCTCCTTCCTCTCATGCCCCTCCCTCCCCCACTGCCTTCGACCTCCGGCCTCCCCCTCCTCCTTCCTCCTCGAGGCGGAGTGGCTCCGACAACCCCTTGTAGTTCCCGCTCAGCTCTGCCAGCTTGCGGTCGAGCTTCGGCTGCAAGACCTCCCGCAGCAAAAGGTTGCCGCGGGTTTGGGCGTCAGCCCCGCGCAACCGGCCACCAAGAAAGAGCCTGCACCAGGGCATCCTGCTGGCGTGGTTGCAACAGGGGGAGGGTGAAGGTTCTGGGATTTCGCTCAAGGCTCGCTTGTGCCAGCCTCGTGCCCGCCCAAATGCGATGGCTGGGTGTTGGGTCTTCCCCCGGTGCCAACCCGTGATCGCCCCGTGCCCGCCCCGTGCGTGGAATCGCTCTCCAGGATGCACACAAAGCTTGCACTACATAGAGTGCGACGCATCTACGATTGTGCCCCCAGATGTACGCCTGTGCGAGATGATGCTGCGCCGCATGCAGTGGACACCATGGCTTGTAGCAGACAGCTTGCTCCACATACCTTGCACATTTGGATGTGCGAAGGTTGCACCCCAGATCTCCACATATGTCGCACATCATATCTTGTACCTCGTTCATGCGGTACCACACAGCTTGCACCATAGTTTGCACGCGATCGGTTGCACCACATAGATGGTACCACACGCATTGCACCCCATGTGTTGCACCGCATCATGCACATGGAGAGTGCAATAGTGGACAGACTAGGATCCACACTGGCAATCCTCTAGAGGACAACAAGACATCATCTGAAACCTGGAAGGGCCAATTCTGGTCGTGGGCCCACTAGCTGAAGCCCCTTGATTCTTATTGGGCGTCCTGTGGCGTGACATGGCTGCACCCGAAAGCTGGTTAAGTCAAATTGGAGGCCCATGGGATAGGAGCCACGTGGCTCTGGCTGGACTTGATTCAACTGGACGTAGCGTCGCCCGAATTAGCATAAACTCCGACGGCGAGGATATCTTGGGTCGGCCCTGAGCATGACTCCCCGCACCACTTCCCTGACACGCAAAGCGTGCAGGGTGCGGAACTGAAGCCGCCGTGGAAAGGGTGTGGTGAGGGGGTCAAACGCAGACCAACAACAACACTCCGCGGGCCTCCAACAATTAGTGGTGCACATTTGTAGTCTGTCTCTCGATGATCCGCACAGCGTATGTTAGCGTTAACGTGTGTTCAAACACCGAAACTCTACAATGCAACGCAGCTGGCACAGTTAGTGAGAGCCATCACGGGCTGCGCGTGACCGACGGAACTGCATGGGGGTGAACACACGTTGGGCTCACAGACGCCCTGAACATCATCGATTCTCTGTCCTCCCCACACCTGCACTACTCCCTGCCCCTCGCCAATGCCAGACATTCGACCGTGGGTTTTTGAAGGGGCCCTGGGACACACAAATAGATACACACAAATAAAAAGACTCCCCATATCTCCCCATATTTTCGGAGTTCCTGTCTTCCCCCCCACGTCCCATAGTTTCCCACATTTTCCCTGGGGAGTCGACGATGAATTGTGTCTCTGTGTGTGCGTTTCCCCTCCCGCACTGCTCCCTGCCCCCCGCCATTGCCAGACATTCGACCGTGGATTTTGTTTCCAGGGCGGGCGTGTCCCAGGGGATTTTCGAGGAAACATACAAAAATATGCACACGTATTAACAACAACTATTTTCAAATACTCAAAAAAATAGTCCGCATGCTATGTTTAGACACTTCTTTTTATCATTTCTGGAGTATCTTTATTTTTCGTCGCGGCCTCGATGAGGCTCGGACCCCCCTTGCCCATGGGGCAGCGTGTCGCCCCGGGGATCCCTCCCGCGAGGGCCCGGGGGCCCGCTCGCGGGCCCCGACGCACACCACCACTGGCCCTCGCTCGGACGTCCACTCCCTGGGTCTCTGTTCGGCTTCGTGAGTGGCTGTTTCGCCAAATGATCAAGGATGCTCCCCGATGGTCCTCGCCGAGGAAAAAACGCACACGTCCAAGCGATGCCAGGGATCGCGGGCACCGAAGTACACCATCATGGGCCGAGCACTGAGGTTGAACAACGAATATAGTCGGAGATCTGGGACCCCTCCTCGCCCAGCCGACCCCTCTCGCTGACCCGCCCCCCCTCCCTGCCGAACCGCGCCTCCCCCCCCCCTCCCTCCACGGCCGTCCCCTTCCTCCCTCCTCATCCCTCCTCCTCCTCCTCATCCCCCCCTCGCTCTCCTGGACCAGAAAGCAAACGACACCATCCCACCTACGGCCCTTGGGGGCTCAGCGTACACGAGGGCATCTGTTGTGGGTTTCTGCGTTGTCTGCGCTGCGGCCCCCCGATGGGCCGTATCGCAACAAGGAGGGCCCTAGGAGGGATAATGTCGAATGTTTTTTTGGTCGATGTCCCTCCTCCCTCGGGCTTCCTGCGCGAGCGGCCCGCCATTCCCTTCTTGGCGTCGGCCCTCCTCCGCGCGGGCAACCATGCGCGCTGCCCCCGCTGGCTTGGATTCGGCCGCAGCCGGTGGTCGCTCCGTCGAGCTGTGTCTGGCACATCTGCGCTGAGGCTCGGGTCTGCAGCCAGGGTCGGCGCCGTTGCTGCGCTGGCTCTCTGTTGCTGCCCAGACCGTCGAGGCGATCCTCGACAACCCGACGCCTGCTCTCGCGTGCCTCTTCGTGACCCTGCTGACGGTCTTGCGGGCGCCGACGGGCTTGCTCCTGATGCTGCCCTCAGGAGGGGCAAGCCAATCCCTGGCGAGGAGTGCCCAGCCACCGCCAGGAACCCTTCCCTCGCGCACTTCAACGTGCGGTTCCACCCCCGATGCCGCTGACGCGGGTATCCTACTGCAAAGCCTCGTTTGCCACAGCCGAGGACCGGTGTGTGCTTGAAGCACCAGCGCCTTCTTCGAAGAGGTCGACGGCATCGTCTTCGTGCCTGCTTCGGTGGCCACGTGGGCTGCCGCCGCCGCTTGCCACTGACGCTCGTGAAGAGCACCGTGGAGACTGCAGGCACGTGCGGCCCACTCTAGAGCGTTCGACTGCCGCTGGCGTTACTGGAACTCCAGGGCTTGCTGCGGCTGGCGTCGCCGGTCTTGGCGCCCGTAGCTAAAAATGTCACGCAGCCTTCGAACAAACAAAACGCGTACTTCCTCCTCTCCTCTCCCTTCATACCTTCCGCCCTCCTCCTCCTGCTCCTCCAACTCCTCCCCTCATCCTCCTTCTCCTCTGGAAT